ACCACTTTTACCCTTATTTTCCATACCCTACCTATCACATTATATATTTTTTTCTAATAATCTATCCATCACATCTTACTTTTACCCATTACATCAAGGGCAAAATTGGAAGTCAACTATAATTTAATACGGAACACTTCTTTATTTTACACTTGGTCAAATCAGTAACTCTTTTTTAGAACGGATAGAGTATTAGAGTATTAGAGAATGCATTTTATTGTATATTTGCAGTAGAAAGGTACCTATGCACATATGATAATTCAATTTAGTTTAACACAATCAACCATTACCAATTTTATTTATACATATTAATTGATATTATTAATACTAGTATTATTATTGACTAGAAAATGGCCGCTCATCTCCGGCACATGTGGCATATCATCATCATCATCGGTCTTCTTCTTGAAGAAAAACTGGACCGGGCGAGCACCCAGCCCGATACCCAAATGGTTGTACTGATCAACCCGAATCAACCCAACCCCAAAGCACACAGGGAAGGAGCTTCCCTTCCGCTTCGGACTTTGGACGCAATAAACCAACTTGTAGCCAAGGGTCACTCTCTTGATAGCAAATTGTACCCTCTTTACGGCGTTAGACTTCGAACCTACCGCCACAAACACCCGCCTCGACTCATCCCCTTTCTTCAAGTACCAAACGTTCGTCGTATCCGAACGCCGCCGTCTTCTCCGTTCCTCCACGCCTCCAATCTCTCCATCATCGCCACCGCAGTTGTCGTTTTCGTTGTCGTCGTCATTGTCGTCGTCGTCGTTGTTTTCGTTGTCGTTTTCGTTGTCGTTGTTGTTGAGGTTGTTGTTGTCGTCGTTGTCGTTGTCATTGTTGTTGTCGTCGTCGTTGTCGTCCCAGAACTGGACCCGGTAGAAAGTGTCTTCTCGGACGACGCGTTCGTGTTCCCTGTCGTCTTGATCTCTCTCGTCGTCGTCTTTGACGCGCGTGAAGGCGACAGGGAAACCGCGCGGGTCGTGGTTGAGTAAGGGGCACTGGACGACGTCGTTATGCCCGACGTCGTCTGGCAAGCACAGGCCGAGCGGGTGGCGGAGGAGGCCGGAGAGTGCGTAGTAGGGTTTGCCCGTCATGAGCGCGTGGCCATCGACATCGACCACCGGAGGGAAGGAGGAGGAGGAGGAGGCCGGGGAGAAGGCGACGGAGGAGAGAGGAGAGCATGAGAAGGAGATGATCCGCCATTTTGGTGTTAATTAGGAGGAGTTTAATTGTCATGTAGGCTTTCTAGCTAGGGAGAGTACCTTTTTACAGGGAGTAATTAGGCAACAATGCAATTTAAATTCCTCCAAAGTTCACGTATGACGTGACCAGGGCCGAGGGTAGGAAGGTAAATAAAACAAATACTCGTTCCGTCCAACAATAAACTTCGCATTTTTAATATAGAAATGACTCTAAATATGACTAAAACATTGAGAAAAGTACTAAAATATGACTTTCATATTTTTTTCTTCGAAATAGAACTTTGCATTGTGGTAATGTGGCACTTTACATATGCCTATTAGTATCCTTTTTTTTATAGTGTACATGACCATGTTTGATAATGTAAGTCCTATTTCGAGAATAAAAATATGAAAGTCTTATTTTGGTATATTTTTAATGTTGTAGTGCTACTTTGGTCTTTCTCTCTTTTGAATAGCGCACGAAATTAAATTTTTTTAAAAATTATTTAATTTATAAATTGGTATGTCATAAAAAATACAAATTACATTGTTTAAAACTACACCAAAAATTCTAAAAAGTAAAAAGTAAGATATGACAAGAATATTTTATCTTATCAAATGATTGATGAAAATATGCAAACAAACATAAATTATCGAGAGACAGTAATAGTAACTAAGAAGTTTATTGTTGAATTTTTTCATATATGAAGGTCAAAATTTATAAACATTTACCAAAAAAATGAAATGTGAAGAAATTCTCTCGATAGATGGAGTATTTCTTATTTGCTTTACTTTATATATCAAGATTGGTTTTAACTTGTAATTAAATAAGGAAAAATTATCTAGAATAATCTCAACTTTACCCGGTCTTTCCAAAGTAATTTCACCTTCCACTGTGGAGTGCTTCTTTGGTGCACCGTAGGTGCATATATGTATACTGTTAATATGCCTTGATGAATTTGTACTGTTTGCCGCTACGCAGATAAGGAAACGAGGATCTGGCTGCCCGGTCAGCGAGTCAGCAGGGGGTCAAGGGGGGCGACGTCCCCTTGCCTGGGGTCCGGGCTGGGAGTCGCTCGCGACTCGACGGTATGCGAGTAATTAATCACTATTATTATTAATAGTGATTAATAATAATATTTTTTGTAAATATAATAATGACAATGATTATTGTCAATAATAATAGATAATAATCATCATTAACACGTAATAATAATAATAATAATAATTTATAATATTTTTTTATAATTATAATAATTATAATTATTAAAATAAAATGATAATGATACTATGTAATATTAATTAATAATTAGAAATTAATAATAAAATTATTATTTTAAATTTTATTCATTATAATTATTATTAATAATTATTAACAAATTATTATTATAAATATTATTATTGCTCTAATTAATTGAATTTGAATTAGGGATTTTCTCTCATGCCTTTTAAATTCAAAGGGCATCCATGCCCTTCTATTGAATGAATGCCATGTGTAATTTGATCCACATAAGCTTTCTAAACCGTGTGCTTCACTTAAGTTTTAAAAATTTGTAAAATGGCCCATGTCACTTCCTTAATTCTTTTCCATTACTTATGGATAATTCAATGTTAGTTATTTTTTTTAATCATTTACTCTATTAATTTAGAGGTTCTAATGATAAGTTTAATACGGAGTACATAATACTCACTCCGTTCCACAAAACCTTTCCTCTTTCATTTTTTTTGATTTTCACAAAACACTTCTACTTTATACGGAGTATTAAAAAACCACTTTTATCTATACTTTTTCATACCATACCTATCACATCATACTTTTTTACTAATAACCAAACTATCACATCTTACTTTTTCCCATCACATCAGGGACAAAATTGGAAAGTCAACCAAAATTACACTTTTCTTATTTTTGCACAAAGTCAAAATGGAAATGGTTTTTTGGAACGAATGGAGTATTTCTTGTAATTTGGTAAATGTTTACTACTTCCTCCGTCCCTAAATAAACTTCCCCTTTCGTTTTTTCTTTGTCCCCAAATAAACTTCTCTTTTCCCTTAAAAAACCCGTTTTACCCCTTACTTTTTCATACCCTACCTATCACATCATACTTTTTTACTAATAATCTACCTATCACATCTTACTTTTACACATCACATCAAGGGTATTTTTGGAAAGTCAACACAAAAATATCTCTCCCTTAAATCATCAAAAAGTCAAAAATGGAAATTTATTTAGGGACGGAGGGAGTATTAGTTTTTCATTATTTCCAAATTTACAATGTTGCCCATATTTTATCTAAAAAGGGCCTTATTGATTAATTTTCATGAAACAAAAATTAATGAAACATTTTCTCTTTTTTTGCACTGAAGCTCATTTCCCTTTTCTGTTTATTTTCTGACTTTTTCTTTCATTTGTTGTTTCTCTTTTTAATTCTTTTAGATATAATGTTTCTTTGATTTTAATAAAATTAAAATAAAATTAAAAAGAATAGAAAATATAATGAAGAGAAAGAAAAGTATACAAAAAATACTTCTATATCAAAGGAAAAATTAAACATGAAGAAAATATGTTGGGAACCAGTCGAAAAAATATTATGAATATTTAATTGACTAAATATTAAAAAAGGCACTTTGTATTTTTTTTCCCAACATATTAAAAAAACAAGACCTTTTTTTAACAAAAAAATAAAAATATGTTAAATTTTTTATTTCAAACACAAGTAATTTTTATTTTTTTAAAACATTTAAAAAAGTAGTTTTGAAAATTCATAAATAGCTTAGTAGTTTAAAAAAACAGTTTTGAGAAATACATCATGGTCTACAATAAGTATATCCACTTATGGATATTAAAAAAATAATATATAAAAATTTATAAATTTCATTAGTGCATCTATGTCAACAAGGTATATTCACACAAATTACTTTGAAACATTTATAGTAGAATACTTTTTAAAACTTTTGATAATGTATTTTTTTTCAAGGAGTAGAATATATAAAAGATATACTCCATACTAATTAATGTAACAAATACTAAAAAAAATTCTTATTTACACTCGTAATTTAAATCATTGAGATTTTTTAAACATGAATTTAATTGAAAATTTGTTGTAAATAAAATCATGTATTTAAATCTAAGGAATAGTACACGAATTGAAAATGAAAAAGTTAAAAAAACAAAGAGCGGTAATGAAAGTTACTTTTTTCAAATAATATGTGTTATATAATGATATCAAATTTGAAAGATTTATTATAGAATTTTAGGAGGTATTCAAAAGATTATACATATTTTAGAATTTATCCATTCTTTAAATAAAAAAATGATTAAGTAAACTTTTAAAATATCAAAATAGACATTTAAGTGGTTAATATAAAATATCTATAAAATTTATAAAACAATCTATAATACTCCATACTATTTTTAGAGTGTTATAATATAATTAAAAATAATGAACATAAATTTTTTTATAAACAACAAGAAAAAATAAAATAAGTAATCTACACTACAAAGATAAGTTAAAGGTTAATTTTGTTGTTTTTCTATATAAACAAAAAAAAAAAAGCAAACCGGGCCATTTTGCAAATTTTTAAAAGTGAGGTGAGGCATATTGATCCACTAGACTTGCGTGGCATTCTATATCCATGTGGCACACATTTAATGGAGGGGCATCAATGCCCCTTGAATTGCAAGGGCATGAGAGAAAAACCCTTTGAATTAAATCCATTAGGCAACAATAGAACAACTCTACCTAATAACCAATGTAATTGCTATCGATTGCATTAGTTATAAAAACTGGTGCAATTGATCCCAACCTCTTACATCGTGAGCATTAGCATCGAACAAAAAGTGATGCAATTAATCCAAAATAAACATGTAAAAGCCCAAATAGGTACTAGTGACATAGATTCCAAATCCAAAAAACTTTCCAAAGCAAATGCTTAAGCTAGTTAAGCAACAATGAGAAACCATTATAGGGATAAAGGTGTGAGCACACTAATTAAACACACAAATTATTATTACATGCATGCCCTCCATCTATGTAACAACACGAATTAATTTCAAATCAATACACTCCACAAAGTATTATTTTATGTCGTCGCTGAATCAGCTAGCTAGGAGCTCATGGCTGGCGAGCTTAATGTCCACCGGGTCGGATCGAGCACCAAGATGATGACGACGATGATGAGTCACGTTATTGGTAAAGAAAAACTGGGTCAAGTTTACACCCAACCCAATACCCAAACGGTTATACCCGTTCTCCCATATCAACCCGATCCCATAGCAAACGGGAGTGGGCGGAATCGGAATCAACACGCAGTACACAATCTTGTACCCCACCAACACCCTCTGGATCCTAAACTCCACCGCGAGGCTCTCCGGGCCGATCGCGACAAACTCCTTGTTCGGAGTGTCTGGGTCGTCTTTGACGTACCAGAGGTTCCCGGTGTCGTCACTGCAGTTCCCCCCAGGGAGAGGGGGGAACTGGATGTGGTAGGGGGTGTCCTCCCGCACGACGGGGTCCTCGCTCGGGCTGATGGTGGAGAAGGTGACGGGCAGCCCGAGGAGGTCACCGGCGTAGAAGGAGGGGCACTGGACGACGTCGTCCGGGCAGGCGGCGTTGTCCACAAGGCACAGCCCTTGCGGGTTCGGTAGGAGGGTGGAGAAGACGTAGTAGGGCTCGCCGAGTTTTAGCTCCTTCCCGTCCGTGCCGAGCACCGGCTGGGACGGGAATGGTCTTGATGAGAGGGTGGTCCAGGGGAGGAAGGACGACAAGAAGATGGTTATGATGAGGGAAATGGACGGGAGAGGATGACGACGATGAAGGAAAGTCGTCGCCGTCGTCATGTTTGGTTGGTTTTGGTGTGTTACATGAGAAATATTATATAGGAAGCTGATGCTCCAATTTATAGAAGGAAAGAAGCTTATTGAGTAAAAGGTTAGATGGTCCGTACTAACGTTCATCATGTGTTAGCATTTTTCAATGAACGAAATGGTGGGAGACTTATTAGTTGTACTGTACTAGCTTAGGAAGCATTTTTTATTTATAATTAAACAAAAATTTGAGCAGCTCATCATATGATATTGATCCTCACAAATGTCATGAGGATGACCCGGAATCGTATATTACTTGGATAAAAAGACTTCGGAAGACTATTAATACTCTCTCCGTCCCAAAAAGATTTACATCTTTCTTAAAAATTGCGTCCCACAATCTCCTACCCATTTCTATTAAAAAACCACTTTTACCCCTTACTTTTTCAAACCCTACCTATCACATCATACCTTTTTCCTAATAATCTATACATCACATCCTACTTTACCCATCACATCAAGGGTATTTTTGGAAAGTCAACACAAAATTATACATCCCTTAATTTCAACTTTAGTCAAAACGTGTAAATCTTTTTGGGACGGAGGTAGTATAAGATGGTGAATTTACCTAAATATGACTAAAACATAATGATTTTCTCAATATAAAACCGTATATTTTTATTTTCCAATGTAAGACCATTGGTCATTATCCATTAGTCATTATTCAAGTATATGTCCACCATCACTCGATATTATTCTTCCTACTACACATTAGAAGTACTCCCTCTGTCCCGGAAAACATGAGAGTTTTGATTTTGAAGAGGGATTTAAGGGGAGTGTAATTTGTTATTGAATTTCCAAAAATGTCTTTTGATGTGATGGATAAAAGTATGATTTGATGTATAGATTATTAGTAAAAAGATATGATGTGATAGGTAGGGTATGAAAAAATAAGGGGTAAAAGTGACTTTTTAATAGAAATGAAAAGTGTTTTTTGGGATGGATGAAAAAAGAAAGGAGAAAGGTTTTCAGGGACGGAGGGAGTACTATTTAGGGAAATAAAAAAGTTTAAGTTCTACATTGGAAAAGCCTATCTCCACTCTTGTTGATAACAAGGGAAAGCTCGCTACTACCTCAACATCGCTCGTACCCGATCCTTCACTCTACCACTCCATTATTGGTGCCCTTTAGTACCTCACTCTCACTCACCCAAACATTTAATATGGTGTGCAATAGCTCTACCTTCATCTGCATGATTCAAGGAATACTCACCTCACTGCCATGAAACGTGTGCTTTGTTACCTCCATGGCACCGTCTCACATGGAATCACACTTTCTCGGTCAGGCATTGATTCTCCACAAGGATATTCTGATACTGATTGGGTAGGCTATCCAGACACTCAAAGATCCACTTCTCATGATGTGTGTTCTTGGGGAATAATCTAGTATCTTTGTCCTCAAAGCGACATGCCATCACCTCCCGCTCTAGTGCAGAAGCAGAGTATCATATCGGGCCGTGGCTAATGCCGTTGCTGAGACAAGCTGGATCCGCAATCTTCTCACCGAGCTTCATCAGCCACTGCGCGGGGTGACACTTGTCTTTTCTGACAACATGAGTGTTGTGTATTTATCTACAGATCATGTATATCACTCGTCACAATACGCTGATACGTTCATTAAGGGACTTCCATCAGTCCTCTTTCTTGACTTCAGAAGTAGTCTTGGCGTCTGCTCTACACTGCTAACGTAGTTGGGCGCATGTTAAATATATTTAGTAGTAAATATATTTAATATATTGTATTTATGATAGATTCCTTTTCGTATAGGGTTCCATATATTCTTTCCATACTATCATTATCTTTATGTATATAAATACACCTTGTAATCCCTCACAATTATTATCAAAATACACAATTCTTTAGTTATTTATCAATGTCAAAATCCAATGAAGAATAATTCTTTAGTCTCTGTATTGAATAGTTTTGGATCCCTCTCTCTTAATAGGGAGTCTATTGCTTTCAAAAAAATAGGGGGTCTATTTATACGAGAGACAAATTAGGTATCTGAACTCTAGATGAAATCGGATCTTAACCCCTAAACTTTCACCTCACTTCTCATATACTCCGTATCCTATTACAACATAATATTTCTAAATCTAGAAGGTTATCACAGGCCTAAGCTATTCTAATATCCGACCCATTCTTGCTTTCCTTCGACGTCTCATTTTTGTGAACTCTATCCTTTCGATCAACTTTTGGCCGATCATGCCCATTTATTTAATTATCTCGTGGACCCAATCTCCATCAGTTATTTATTTGCAACACTAAAAAAAATACTCCCTCCGTTTATCTATCCATCACATACTACTTTTACCCATCACATCAAAGGTATTTTTGGAAAATTAATACCAAAATATCTCTTTCTTAATTTCCCAAAAAGTCAAACCGTCTCATTCTTTTTGGGACGGAGGGAGTAAATGTTATCTTATACTCCCTCCGTCCCAAAAAGTTTGTTACGTTTAGAAAAAACTGCGTCCCGTAAAGTTCGTTACATTTCTATTAAAAAACCACTTTTACCCCTTACTTTTTCATACCCTACCTATCACATCATACCTTTTTCCTAATAATCTACCCATCACATCCTACTTTTACCCATCACATCAAGGGTATTTTTGGAAAACCAATACCAAAATATCCCTCCCTTAATTTTCCAAAAAGTCAAACCGTCCCATTCTTTTTGGGACGGAGGGAGTATATATTTTATCAATATATCTATAAATGTTGCATGCATATAAAGTGTTGCAAAGGCACAATCAATATATAATATCAATTTTATTTAATTACGGAGTAGTAATCAAAGTTTGTCATTTTTATCATCACAATCGGACCATAGTGTCACTGTAGCCCAATGCCAATAGATCGAACTCTGGATACTAAATTGGGATCATCATAATCATAGGTGTCGTTAGATAGTTTTTCAAAATAACATTCCGTAAAGCTAAATATCAAATTTCATAAAATTTCTTTTGAGCTGAAATATGGAGTATATATGAAGACAATGATGGTGACGATGACGGTGATGATGCCGAGGATGAAGAGCATATTGAAGACATGGATGGCGATTGAGCTTGTGGAGGCATGTCATTTAAGTCTTTCAACTCTTTGCTTCTTAAATTTATTTTCTCGCGAATCTATTCTACTAACTCCATTTTCCTGCTTATATTGTTGATACAATATTATGTAATATTGTGTCACCTTTACCTTTTTTGCTTATGAAAAAAGTGTAAAAATCATAAAGAACGTTTTATTGATTGAATGAATAAGAGAGGAATACAACGTATGTATTTATAGGTGGAGAAATATATTCTAGAATCTTCCACATTAATGACTAATTTATATAAGGTAATATTATATAATAATTACTCTAACTATAATAGATAACAACCATAATTATAATATATAATATTAAATATATTAAATAATTGATATATTTAACAAAAAGTCAAAGTGATTAGACTGTTTTGCTTGCAGGATAGCTTGAAAAAGGGGGTTGGGGGAGTTTTCTTGTCTTTAAACAAAACAAGTATGTTTCATGTTTTGTATGTTGTGGCATATGTGTTTAGAAATAGAATTTGTTTTTTATTCCAAGCCCAAGTAAAATCAATAATATGGGTCTGTCACTACCAAAATGGAAAAAATTGTTGACCCTTATGTTTTGATAATGACAAATGTTTTGTGAGAGTCGGATTGATGGCTTGCTTAACTAGCTTTGGAGTTAAGTCAAGCTCAGATAAGAAGAGGTTGTTTAGATTTTATTTAGCTTTTCTTGAGTCCTAGTTTGTTTGCTAAAGTGTATGACACATAGAGGTGACAATCGGGTCAATTAGATCAATTTCAGGTTGGATTTTTTCGGTTCGGATATCTTTTAGATATATGTTATGATCGGATCGATTCGGTTTGAATCAGTTTAATTTTAGTTCTGATTTGATTCGGTTCTATATATTTTTCAGTTTCGATTTGATCTCGAGTCAAACGGAGCACCAGAAGTGTGGCTATTATGCACACCCCAAAAATGGGATAGGAACCATCAATTTTGCATACCGAGCACCAGAAGTGCCCCAAAATGGCGAGTGTGATCTGTTGACACTGGATTCCAGTGCCAACGAAACTCCACACATTTTCTATATATACCAATGTTCTAAAAACCGGACCGGCCGTCGACCCGGATGAGGGTGTGGGTCAAGGGTTAATCGGTCGAACCGGGAGTCAACGAACCGGTCAAATATAATTAATATATTTATTTATATATGTATATTATTAGATATTTTCAATTAATATCATTGTGAATATAAAATTTAATACTTTAATTTCTATTTTTATTACAAGTTCAGAGTGAATGTCTAATAAATACATAAATAGTAAAAACAATACTCATATTTTCAAAAATAGATAAAGACTAGATAATGTGTTCTTCTATATTATTGACATTATAAAGTTTATATTTCATTGATTAAAAATGAAATGTAGCATATTATTGTTTAATTAATATTTTAAAGATAAAAATATTATTTTAAGTATTGATTAGTTATATTTTCTAAAGATATAAAATAAATAATACTAATTGTTTTAACTTTGAACTAGTTTAAAAGTTGATAAAACAAATATATTATATCAACATAGTTCTTTTTTAATCAGTGGAAGTCTTTTAAATGATGTATAAAATTGATTATGTAGTTCTTTCTCTACACAGTTTTAGGTAATATATAAAATAGTGCATGATAGTAAAACAAAGTGGCGGTTGCACAAGTGGATTCTCTCTTCCTGCCATCCATTGCCATCCGGTCCGGTTTTAAAATCATTGATATATACTGGTACAATCTTCATGATTAAAATAAGGCAAATTCTTTCCCTAGACCTAACATCCATGTTTATTTTATGTTTGTAACATAAAATATAAGCATTACTCATTAAAAAAACCGGTCAATAAAAATAATATGAAATACAAGCATGCAACTAGAAATAGTTTATCACACATCTCACCAATTTATTTCATAACGAGACTTTCATATTATCACATATATGAAATTCATTTTTAATAACGTATGACTTCATATATGTTTATGAAATTGGCACAATTGTAACCACACCATAATTAAAACAAAATCATGAAAGCATTTAAATTTTAGCCTTATTTATTATTATTATTATTATTATTATTAGTCATCACTCTTTTTTAAGCTAGCTAATCTAAGAGGTGGCCACATGGTTGACCGATGACTTGACTTTACTACTCTTGAAGAAAAACTGGGCCGGTTCAAGACCCAACCCGATACCCAAACGGTTGTACCCAAAGTCCGGTATAAGCCCAATTGTATAACAAATGGGTATCCGCGGTATAGGAATTACCACGCAATAAACCAACTTATATCCAAACCCAACCCTCTGGGCCTGAAATTGGACTTTGGTACCCTTCGGATCCGTCGTCACGAATTTCTGGATCGGAGAATGGGCCTCCGTTAAAGCCCAAACGGCCGTTTCGTTGCTACGGTTTCCCTTGACGGGAAACTTAACGTTGTAAACCTTGTTCTCCCGGACGACCGGATCTTCCGTGTCGTCGGCGGCGGCGGAGAAGACGACGGGGAGTCCGAGGAGAGGTTCTTCGGGAAAAGGCGTGCACTGAACGACGTCGTGTGGGTGCGCCCTGGATTGGTTGTTCTGGACGTTGACTAAACATAGACCCTCCGGGTGGGGTAAAGCTTGGGAGATGACGTAGTAGGCGGCGCCGAGTTTGAGCTCTTTGCCGTCGACGTCGACCACCGGAGGGGAAGTCGGAAACCGCCGTGGGGAGACAATGGGGGCGGAGGATAAGAAGAGGAACAAAAGAGAGGTGAAAAAATATAGCATGAGAACCTTCATTTTTTGGAATGGTGAGTAATTTGGTAACAACCTATGATCTTTACAACGTAGGAGTTCTTATACCGGACACTCCTGAGACCCAGTATTGAGTATCAGGGCCGGCTTTGAAAAATGAAAAAAATAAAAATGGCCCGGTCCAAAATTTACATTTTGTGCCCTATTTTATATTTTTAGAATACTTTTGCTTTAAAAATATTAACAAATTTAAAAATATGGTGCCCTAAATTTTAGGTTGCCCTGTGCGGTTGGCCACTTTGCACACCCTCTGGGCCTCCCATGTTAAGTATTTTTTTCGTGGCAAAGCGAAAAAGAAAATATCTCAGCCAAATAAAATTTTTAATATATAGTATTAATATAAAAAAGATATCATCAAATTTATTACATTAAATTTTTTTTTTGGGGGGGGGTTGCGTACTTGCATGCATCCAAATGGTTATGCAGTAAATAAGTTATACTACGTACAACCATTGCATGTAACGGCTAGGCTGGGATTCATATTTTTTTCCTTACAACTAACCCTATAGTTTTATTTTATTTTCATACAACTATCTTGTTATTACCGAATAGAATAATTGAGTAATCGAAACAAACAGAAAATTTATAATTAATAATACCTCCGGAGTAATATTTTTTACTCTATAATTGTGTTATTTTGAATCATTTGATGAATGTTCAAGGAAATTTATTACTCTGAATTTTTTTGTTGTTTCTTTTTGTTTTTAAAAAACATAGTTATCTACCACTACAATGTGTATTAACTTCAATATTTTCTACTGCTATCATTTTTTATCATTTTTATAATTAATAATAATGTCATATAATAATGTTGTTTTGATTATTTAAACGTTAAAGATAAAATTTATTAGTTTGATATTTTTTATTATTTTTTATTGTGTTTGTAAAAGAAACTTGGAGACGCTATCTCTGAACTCTCGCCACATGCCCACACAATCTGCCTGAAAAGTTCTGGCATCTTTACTCTTGACACCGCTCATTTAAGAGTCTGGGTCTGCCACCGGATTTAACGTGATTCATTCACAAAGTTGATTTGTGCCCTACCTCTATATAAATAGGCACACAAGACAGGCTAGGCTCAATACAATAAATAAACCCTCGTTTCCTTATCTGCGTAGCGTCAAACAATACAGATTCAAGGCCTAACATATCTCTATATATTCTCTAATCTCTAATTCTTTACGAACTTTCTAACTTTTATTTTTTATAATCTTTAATTAGACAAATGCACGGGAACGAAAGAATATTTTTCCTTTTTGAGTTATATCGTTCTCACATAAGTCTTTAGCGGAGTAATTATTATATTGCTCACTCTGTCCCAGAATATTCGTCCAGTTTGACTTTTTCGAGTCAAACATGACCAACTTTAATCTTCAATTGCTCTCAATTTATATTTCATATGAATATAATGAAATAAAATTTTGAAAGTTCTACACGAGTTAGATCTAAAAGAACCATTTTTATACTAATGTACATTTTTATTTTTACTTAATTGAGGCTCAAAATTCATCTAATTTGACTCAAAAAAGTCAAACTGGATGAATACTATGGGACGGTATACTATGGGACGGTGGTAGTACTATACATCTCGATGTATGGTATTTGTCGAATATATGACATATATATGTGCATGTTCATAAGTTATATAATACTCGTTTCATTCTTTTTTCAATTCGACTTTCACATTGATTAAGAAAAGTAAAAAAATAGAAAATTTTATTTTGAAATAACCAAAAAACAAAAATACGAAGTTAGAATTTTGTTTTAGGACGGAAAGAGTATTTCTTGGTACATATTTTAAATTTATATATATATATATATACACATATACATATACATATACATATATATATATATATATATAGGTTGGTTCAGGTAAGAATATAATTATTTATGGAATATGAGAATGGTGCATTTTCAGACGGTTGTGTTGTATTTTACACTTGTAGTGTTTTTTTGAAAAGTTCACTGGATTTACAATACTGCCACCGTGATTTTTTCAAATTTTTTAGATTTTTTTTAATTTTAATAGTTCTTAGATCTTAAATCTAATACTCCCTCCGTCCCAAAAAGTCTTTCCTGTTTCATTTTTTGCGCATCCCATAAAACACTTCTAGCGACATCTAAAATGCCTAAAATTTACAAAATTTCTTCTTTATTGTGGGTAGAAGTTATTTTAAAAGCTTTTTTTGGCATTCAAGACGGGATAGAAGTGTTTTATAGGATGCGCAAAAAATGAAACATGAAAGACTTTTTGGCACGGATGGAGTAGATCATATGAAATATGAATTCTTATTTCTTTTACTATGCACCACTCTCATTTGTGTGTGTGTGTGTGTGTGTATATATATATATATATATATATATATATATTCCAAAATGGAAGCTAAGTAACCAACTACTTTTTTTATAGGCAAACTACTCCATGCTGGTACAACTAACCACCATTGTAATTTAAACAATTGTACGAGTACTACTTGTTTTATTAATCATATTTTCTTCAAACTGATTTTCTGATTTCTTTGGACTATGGAGTATTATTATGTCAATGAGGTTTGTGAAGTCTCGCATATAGTAAATTAAAATAATAAGAAGAATTTATCTATATAGTACGAAAACATAGTAAGTTTTTATGTTTTAATTTCTCAATTTACTAATATAGTACCGGCATTCAGTGTCTATTGGGCATTGTTTAAGTAAATATCCACCGTCGCTAAACATTTTTCAAAAGAATTGTCTACTGTCACTGGACATTATTCCTGCCACTAGACATTGTTCAAGTATTATTTTCAGAATAAAAAATTTTAAGTACTACATTGGGAAGAGATTTTAATCCCGCCACTAGACATTGTTTAAGTATTATTCCTCAATACAATTTTCCTATTAACACCTAGATAACACTTTTAAAACACTAAAGATAAATGCCAAAAATAATGGCAAATAAAATATTTATCTAGTTCGACTCAAATCTCAGCTAGGGGTGGGCGTGAAATCCGTTCTCGTTGGACCATTCCAAAAAATCCCGGATCGGTTTTGTAATTGTACCGATATATTGGGACGCATTTTTTATCCCAAACTCGTTCCGTCCCAATATCAAATGGGACATGAGCGGGACAACTTAAATTTATACCAATCCGTCTCATTGTCCCGTATAATCTACTTTACTAATATATAATACTAATTCTAGTCCAAAATCTAAATACACTCATTCTTTAATTAATTAGTTATTAAATTAAGTTAACTGCATAGACTTGAAATTTATTTGGACCCATTCCACTCATTATTTTTTTGTTGGATGGCTGTATATTTCTTTTTTTATTGAAATGTCACCCTCTCCCCCTTCTTATATTTGCGATTGGGACAAGGTAAGACGACCCGAATCCATTCCGATTTGTTCCAATCCCAAATTTTATGGGACAAACCGGGATAAGATTGTAATATGATCTGAACCGTTCCGGACCGTTTATATATAACGGGACAAGGCGTGGGGAAACCTAAAACCCGGACCGTCCCGATCCGTCTCCACCCCTAATCTCAGCTCTTTAAATCACTTGAGTAGTGATGCTCAATTTTAAATTATATCAGGAAAAATATATAAAATATCCTAATGTTACTCTCTTCGTTGAAATGAATGAAGTGATGATAGATGTTTAGTATTTGGTAAGTGTCTATTCTGCACATGAAGTTCCCTAAATGAACTCCATGTGCACATATAGGGAATGACAAATTAAAACCCTGGTATTTAGTATTTGTTAAAAAGTGAGTTGAATGTTGGAAGAAATTAGAAAAGTTGAAGAAAATGGATGAAGTAAAAAAAGATTGAAATTAAAAGAGTTTTAAAAAACTCAAATGAGTTAAAAGAAACTTGAGAGATTGAAAGACTATAAGATTGAATTGCAGGTTGAACTCGGAAGGCTCACATCTTGGGGTAGAATCGTTTTTTGTACTACTTCATGATCACAACATCATTCTAGGTTACGAGGGTGGTCTATTGACTTTTTCTTTTAATGTTAAAATTATCCATGCACATTGATGTGAATTCGGAAAGTAAACTTTCGGATATGATCATACATGTGGGTGCACCTTACAAAAGTAGGTCCAACACATGTGGGATTAATGTTTATTTGTGTTTTTATGATATTATACAAGCAAGTATCTCATGGCGAATCCAAGAAGACGACGAAAGCAATCCTCATAGAAATTAGAGCTTATTGAAATTTCGTGGGAAGTAAACCAATAACCAATCTAAACAAGTTTATAGATCACACAAAACAAACAACACGTGCTGCCGTACGGCAATCAAAAACGCTTCCCAACTCGTACCACAATTATTGGTTTGGTAATAACGAAACCAATCGGAAGCCGGGTAATCAATGAGCATAGCGACCAATTGCAAGCGTTCAACATCTGGCGTGAGAAAGTAATCAAAATAATTCTGAATCCGAAAAATCCAACCGGCTGGATCATCGCCGTTGAATCGCGGCGCCTCCACGCGCATGCGTGGAATTGCCTTAGTATTGGCCCCACCGTTAGGACAGTTAAGTGGAGGTCGCCAGCCCATCCCTGGCGGACGGTTCCAGCGCTGCTCAACATGAGGCCCGGTTGCCGCTAACGCCGCCACCTGGCCCTTCGTCGTTTGTAGTTCGGCGCTGAGATTGTTGATGGCCTCTAGGAGATCGTCCATAGTGATGGCGCCTTGGGCTGGAGTCTCGGGTGTTGGAGTCGACATGACAGAGGTATTGAGAACGGCAATGAAAGCACCAGTTGATAAAGAAACTTGGCGGCGAAGGAACAAGAAACCCTAAGAGGCAACGTTGGGTTGTCCTTGGGGGTTTTGTCGTGCAAGGAGAAGAGAGAAGGAGATTAATTCTAAACTATTCCTTGTATTATGACCTCCTTGACAAAGTAAGGGGCTTCTCTTTATATAGGAGAGTAACCCTAATCCTAATCCTATCAGTTCAAGAAAAGCGTCAAGGGAAAGAACCGAAAAAAAAACCCTTGAAGGGACTTATAATTCGTCCACCTAACAAAATCTAAGTTACAAATATAAAAGGAACATAAGAAAAAAATATTAAACATAATCATCGTAACGTTGAGGTCGTCTTGTCGTCCGTTTTGGTCGTCCCGCCCCTTGGACCTTTTCTCGATCATCATCACACTCCGCATGGGCTTCTTGTGGAGGACTAGTAACGTCCGGGGGCGTATCTGATAACTCCTCGTCTAATGTTGGGTCCGTATCACAATCCTCATAGAAATTAGAGCTTATTGAAATTTCGTGGGAAGTAAACCAATAACCAATCTAAACAAGTTTATAGATCACACAAAACAAACAACACGTGCAGGTGTGGCACAAAGATGCTACGTCACAAAGATGCTACGTCATCTTCTGTGTCATGGTAGAATTGAAGAAAGTAGTAAAAAACATAGCAATATTTTTACACAGAGCAAACTCTCCTACTTTACAGGGCCCACATTCATGTAAGTGTCCTTCACTAAACCAACTTAATAGATTATGCCAATCACAAACAAAAGAATGCCTCTTCTTTATGTTTATATAGGGAATGACAAATTAAAACCCTAGTGGAGTTCATTTAGGGAACTTCATGTGCAGCCAGTCTTCTTGGATAGCAAGTGTCCTAACACATTCCTATTTCCTTTAATTTGCATATGAGATAAAGAAGCTTTCATGAACCATAAGGCATCATTTTAGAATGCGATGTACTCCACAAAATAAACGCAAGCTTGAATTTCAGGACTCCTCAACTGTGAAGGACGGACCAAGTGATGTAGCACATGCTTCAACAACAGGATGACGGACAGGAAGCTACAACTCTATTCTAACACAAAATGACAAAAACACAACATCTAAGACCTATTCATTTGTAAAAGTTACATATATTCATCGACCTAAATACTCATCTAAAATTTACTCATTAAGAGTAATTTTAAATAGCTCCTAGTTTGGGGTTGTTCTTGAACTGCTTTTCTCACTTAGGTGGTGAATGTAATTCTTTTTCTTTGTTTTACTATTTTTTTGGCTTGGCATTTTCTAAATGTATTCTTCAGGTGCATATGTAACTACATTACATCGTACATATAGAGAACCATTGGAAAATGTTGTTGAAACTTTTATGGATTAAAGGAAATTAAATGCATACGCTATTGAGGGTAGGGTTTCAGGAATGAGTTATAATGGAGTAAAAAAATGACTATATATAATGGGGAAATGCTACCAATCTTTTGTTGCATCATAGAAAATTAAATATTATGTTGGATGTGCTTATTATATGTATGTATATATGTTAATGGGTGTAATTTTTTTTCTTTTGCATTGTTTTGCATCCAACCCTTTCATTTGTTCATTTGTTGCCTAGTAATACATATGATGGATCAAAATTAGATTGATATGTCCCAGACGTCAACTGAGTTTTTTCCAAGTTTGGAAGAGTTTATTTGCTTCTTAGGAAAACATTCAAAAGAGGAAGAAAAGAAATATTGCCCTTTTAACTTACTTCCTCCGTCCTCCAATTTTTTCCACTTTAAAATGGACACAAATACCAGGAAAAGTAAGATTAGGTACCAAATTGACTAAAATACCCTTAAGTTATTACTTTTGGGGGATGGGGTGAAATGATGGTCTGACATCCAAGATCCAAAAGAAAAAGAACAAAAAAAAGCAAAGTACTTTCTTTGAGATTTGAGTGTAGGAAACAAGAAAAAATCTTAGTCAACAATCAAGTTCTCCATTGAAGCTATTAGAGTATTCTCGCTTGTGGACAGCAAACAATAGTTGCCACTTCCGGTGGATTAGCATCCTAGGAGCTTCCAGAAAGATAGCATTGTTGTCAATGCATGGTGGGAATTAAATGGGGAGGCGGAGGATATTTTAGACAGTGGTCTTGGGATGATGAGGCAATTCGTTAGCATAATACATGTGTGGGGCATGTTCACTTCTGTAGGAGGAGGGAGTAAATGGTGTAGAGAGTATTTAAATTGTAAGGGTATATATGGAAATCCATTAATTTTTTATTACCAAAGTAGTATAATGAAGGAAGACATTGTTTCCCATTAATTATTTCCATTATGGTTCGTTTGTTGAAATTTTAAGGCCATGGTGTTGACTTAGGGAGAGAGAAATGATTGAGCTTAATGCCAAACCGATGTGGGTTGATGTTTGCGGATTACCACAACAACCGGGGTACCGAGTGTGGATACTACACTATGCAATTTATGTGGCTCGTCATTAGTTTGTGTGCACAAGCATTCATACCAATAAGCGATGAAAGTTCGCTTTAGAATGTTTTTGTAACTAAAATGTTTGTTTTATGATATACAGTATAACCACTTGGCTTCTTATTTATGATTATTTTAGATTTAGTCTAAGTGTTATGGTTATTGGAAGATATATGTAGTTTATCATTTAAGCTTTATATTCACGTTATTGTTGTTGTTAGGTTGTTGTTGTAGGTTTTTGGCTCTATTAAGGAATACACGTATGAACAAATTGATGAGATTATAGAGTTCTGGGCTTGTGGATTCATTGATGATTTAGTTTAAATTGATCCCTTGGATATAACAGTTATGTTTCATTTGTATGTTTGATTGTATGTCATTTATTAGTAGTTGTTTTGTACTTATATACGCTTGTAGTTAAACGCATGTATCGTTAGTTGAAGTAAACTAACGATGCAAAAAATCTTGTTCATGTTTCACGCTATTCTGTAAATTAAATTGTATTGTGAAAATCTTGTTCATGTTTGTGAAATATTATTCAGCCACTGTAAAAAAACAACCTATTACGTCAGTTACAACTGATGCAAATAATTTTCCCAATTTTGACGCTAAGTTCCTGAAAGGCCTTTTGCATCAATTATTTAAAAATAACCGATGCAAAAGGTCTTACCACAGCACGAAATTTAGGCACAAAAAAGGTCTTTTGCATTGATTAAATAATCGATGCAAAAAGTTTTTGCTCAATCACATCGCTGCCTGTTGCATCAGTAAAGAATCGATAGAAAAGGTCAAAAATAACTGATTCAAAAAAACAATTCCATAGTAGTCCATGGAACATGACTTATTCGGGTCAATGAAATTGACGTGCCTCTAAAACGCCTCCCTTAGAGCAAGAACCACGTTCGCTAGCTAGGAATATTGTACCTTCTTGACATGTCCATTAGCCAATATAGTCTTGATTTCTTCCTTGACAAACTCTTTGAATTTCATGGACAATATACATCTTATACAGATTTACGTGCTTTACAAAATCAAAAAATAACTGCAAATAACAAACTAGACCAAATCAAATCCTCAATTTGGTATTTTGAGAGCAATATGAGGTGATTTTACATAATGAAAACTTCTAGCCTAACAGATATATTTATTAATTTTAAATATAAATTTTATTTCTATTTTTTTATCGAGTAATACGGATTTTGAATATGTAGTTCCAGTTTTGTTGTGTACAAAATTGTACTTTATTTCATTTTTAATTTTTTATAGATAAACTTGCAAATACTAAGTACAAAGTATTTAAAATACTATTTTTATAAATCTAGAATTGTTAAAATTGTACTATACTCTTAGAAATAAAATTTATTATCTTTCACATAGTTTTAATGTTTGTCACTCTATTATCTTTCACATACTTGTCATGATTTGGATACAGAAAAAGAAAAAGACAATAAGGAGTCTACATATTCATATTATTCACTTCATGAGATTGGGGTAAAAGGAAATACTTTACTCAAAATTATGTATTTTATCTCATGAATCACAATCTAATAAAGGTAATAGCTTCACCAGCCAGATAAAAGAAAAACAAGCTAGATAAAAGAAAAAAGGTGTTTATTATTTAAAACTCTATATAAGAGTATATATATATATATATATATATGAACTTTCTAGACTAATTCAAGAATTACTTTCACTCACCGTCAGTTCATCACAGATTTCTCTAGAAGGAATATAAATGCATTATCCAAAACTAAGGCTACGGATTTCGTAAGATATTCTTCATCACTTAATAGCATAAAAAAGAAACAAAACATGATCTTTCAAAAACGAGACAAAAATGAAAATAAAACTTCCAAAAAACGAAAAAAACCTGAAAAACACAGCAAAAAATGTCAAAAATTGGAAAGAAAACAAAAAAAGCAAAAAGAAAACACCAAAAGAAAATGGAAAAACAAAAACAGAAAACAAATCATCAAAAAAACAGGGAAAAAAAACATGATAAAGAAAAACAAAATAGCAAAAAAAAAAAAGTAACATAAAAAACATAAAAAAATATCATCAAAACAAACAAAACAAAAAAAAAGAAGAAAACAAACCAAACGAAACAAAAAAAAAAAGAAAACAAACAAAACGAAACAAAAAAGGAAACAAAATGGAGAAGAGGCTGGATACCTGGGCAGGGCAGCGGCCAGCGGCGCACTGGAAGCAAGAAGAAACAAAGAAGAGAAGAAGAGGAGAAACCGAAGGGTAGAGAGGGAATCGTAAATATTACCTAGGTTTATCGGAGAATTGACGAACATCCATTTTTCACTGTTTGGAGGTAAGATTGGTAAGATTACTTCCCTTCACCTCCTCTTACCTCTCTCAATTTTTTCTCCCAAAGAAGGTAGCTTCTAAACCTAGCCTCACCCTACATGTACCTACCTCAAACCAAACACAATCTTAGATAATCTTTTTCACTGAATATTTAATTGAATAAAATATTTGCATGACCTATTTGTTATTTATTCTTATACCAATTTTTAAATAAAATAATTTTTAAAAAATTAAAATACGGGGTTTTACTTCATAATGTGAAAAATGTTATCTAATTTGGGACAGAGATAATATTTAAAAATTATATCAAAAGTTTTACAAATAAGAGATAATATTACTATATTATTTTATCAAATAAATATAAAAAATAAGCACTTCATTGGAAAAAAGTAAATAAAATTTGATCTTATAAACAACAACAACAACCCAGTTAAATCCCACAAGAGTAGGGTCTGGGGAGGGTGTGTGTACGCAGACCTTACCCCTACTTCATTAATTAAGGCGCAGACAGTTTAGAGATCCATTTTGATTTATTCCATCACACCCCAAAGCCAAAAAAATGGTGAAAATTTGGCTCCATCGGAAATGATGGAAAGTGATCTTATAAACAATAAATAGATAATTAAATTTAAAACAGTAGATGAAATATAATAATAAAAAATTAGGAGACTTCTAATTAACGGTTATTATTACTGAGTATTATATGAGAGAAAGACAAAAGTAAGACTAAAATATTGAAAATATACTAAAATAATGCTTTCATGTTTTTATTTATGAAATAGGACTTAAAATGTATTTACATTACCAAACGTGCTTATGCACATTACCAAAAAGTATAGTAATGTGCACATGTACAGTGCCACATTACAACCAGATTACCGCAATGTGAAGTCTTATTTCAAGAAAAAAACATGATAGTCTTATTTTGATACTTTTTCTCTATGTTTAGTCCTATTTAGGTTGATTTCAAGTATTATATTTGTCGGTTTGAGCACATTGACTCCCCCAATACAATTTTTTAAATAAATTATTTTCTAAATGTTGCATTTGAAAGACGCCCATGCCATGGGCCATCATATACGGAGTACATAAATAATCCTTTATCCTTTATATCCTTTATATATCCTTTATATATATATATATATATATTATTTGAGATTCGGGCTCACAGAATGTCGACATGTGGCGGGTCTACTTGGCAAGTTTTTTATGAATCATCCGCCACCTTTGAAGAGTTTAATGACTTGGCACTTTTATATTAAAATATAAAAAGATCCAATTCTAATTAATATGCCTAATATATACGGAGTACCTTATATGGCGACTAGAATATAATTACGAAGTAGAAAAATAAGAAGATAATTAGGATGAGTAATTTTTAAATTTTTTTCTAATGTATTTTGATTAATTATAATGAGTACAATGTAAAAAAACATCATAGTTCTTTCTAATGATAATATATGTTTAATTTATTTTTATGTAAATTAATATTTCCATTGAATAATAATAATAATACATTTAAGTTAGAACAAATTGAAAAGGTTAAAAAGGAGAAAGACTATTATAGACGTAAAGTATAAAAAAGTATCAAGATTACTTATTTTGACTTCTACCTCAATACTTCTCACTTCTAACTATTATTGTCATTTGAGTTTACTTTCATCTTTTTTTATTGTGTATTCTAACGTCTAACATTTGACAATTTTCAAAATAATTAAAATTTTGATTCTAGGCATTTTTAAAATGAGAAAATTATAATATCCAAAGTGGACACTTAATCATATTGTTTAATAGAGACAGAATCGTGAGTATTTCTTTGGTGCACCTTGAATGCGTATCATTTTTGTGGAACTTCTCACATAAAATATATTTTTTTTAATTTTTTTATTTATAAAAACAAATGCTTATTTTAGTAATAAAAAAATACTTATTTTGCTCATATGTACATCTATGGTACACCTTAAGTCCACCATAGAATTTGTCGAAAATCATTAATATGTTTAAAACGAAATTCATAGATTGAAATAAGACTTTCAATGCGTTAAACCAACGATAATAATTTTAGAATTATTGAAGATATTTTTTGAAAAAAATGCATATACAATGTTGACTACTTAAGTAAATTGTTTTTGGGGAAGCCTAATATAAATAAATAACCTTAGATATTTGAAGAAAATTATACTACATCTGTCCCATTAAATTTTTCAAATACAAAGAAAGGCGTCCCATAAAACTTTTCAAATTAGAAAAAAGGCACACCTTAAAATCATTTATCCTACACATCATACCTTATTACCTTATTATAAAGTAAAGGAAAAGTTTAAAAATAATATCAAAATTATATATTTTTAAAGGAGTTCAGTGTTATGTCATTTCCAGATAATAGTCTTCTTAATAGATTTCAAAATAATTTCTTGATTTAGAACTTAAACTATGATAAAGAAAAATTGTCATTTGATTTTAGAGGATATTTATCTACGATGAATGAAGATCAAAGAAAGATATCTGATGTGATAATCGAAATCTAATATCTAAAAGAGGAGGTTTCTTTTTTATATATGGTTACGGGAGACTTGGGAAAACATTTATATAGAAACCAATGTCTACTTTTCAAGAACGAATGGTATGTAAGGCTGTTTTGAATGTTGCATCCAGTGACATTGCAGCATTGCTTTTGCATGGTGGAAGGATAGCACACTCGAGATTCTCAATCTCTCTGGCTTTAACTGAGTGCTCAATGTGTGCTATCAAACAAGGGGGGTCCGAAAGCAGAATTAATCTAACAAGCAAGTGAAATCATATGAGATGAAGAATGTGTGATGAATAGATTTATTTTAACTAAGTCAGCATTTACTTATGATTAATTTTATGTTGTTCCTTCACAAGTGAAGAAAAATACATAATTAAAAATGTTTATTTTAGATGACAATAGAAACTCTTGCAACCATACCAAAAATATTGTATACTTTGAAGTGTTTCAAAAAATTTGGATTTTACTAAGTCTTTGTTTTGTATATACTTTCAATTCTTCAAATATTATTTATTCTATTTTGATGTTGATGTATATATAGTATTAAAAATCATGTAAGAAATTTATTTTATTTAATCCACAAAAAATAATACATGAAAAAAAGAATTGAAAAAAATTTTGTTCGGCCCCGTGCATGGCACGGGTCAAAATACTAGTTATATATAAATTTGAGAGTTTGATGCATAAGATCTTGACATGTGGCACAATATGGGGTATACATGTGGCAAAATACGGGGCATATTATGTGACATTTGATTTATGAGCTAAATTCCATTAAATATTATTTGGCATGTGAATAAACTTTTTTTTGTCAAAAATAAAATTAATAAAAATAATTTTTTTAAATAAATCCTTTATATGAAATTATTAAGAATAAAAATATTCAATAAATACTTTATGTAAAGTGATTAAACTTTTATCTTTAGAAAGTTGAATGTGCATTACTTATGTGGCTTTTTGCACCTAATATGACACATAATTTAAGACATAAAATATGAAAAGCTATTTTGGTTTGAAATCTTTGAGTAAATTTAATAATTAAATACTTATATTCATTTTATAATAACACTTTTCATGATTCAGTATTTTTTCTTCATTCCTAACAAAATTTTCAATTACTTAATAGACTACTCTCTTCGCCTCTAAATAAATTTCACGTGATTATTTGTATGATAAATTAAAATGAAGTTATTTGAATATATTTCTTTCATTATTGATATGGAATAAAAAACAAACAACATATATAAAAATTGCATTAATCATTTTAAAAAAAGATGGTTGGGTTATAATAATGTTCAAGTATAAAAAAAATTACTATACATAATTTTGTAAGTAAATATTTTAATTATATAATAATAGTTAATTACAAGAAATTTATACTTTATAGGCTTTTAGATGCTTTATCGTTTAGATGTAGAAATATATTATTTTTATTAGCTTTAGGATATGATAATTGATTTAAGGAAATTATACAATGTACTTGATTAAAATAAAATTTCATTTTTGTTTATAATATGATTAAATGAATTGTAATATTTCATTTATTTGAATATAAAAAAATAAAATGAAAAATAGCTCTAAATTAATACGGAGAATGACTCGGGCAACGGTAACAGCACTGGAGGGATTACCTCGACCCCTGACACGGTCCAGGTGCTGTTCGGCATGGGGGTGACCGCGGAGCAGCTCCAGGCTGCCGTTGCGGCGCTCTCCTCCATGGGCAGGAGTGGACTCGGCACCAGAACTACCCACACCCCGAGAGGCCCTAATACCGAGCACGCTGCCACTTCACAGCACAAAGGGAAGAAGACCCAAAGGAGCCGGAGGAGGCCCGGTAAGGCTCCGATGATCGAGGAGGTGCTGGTAGAGGACATTTCAGAAGGGGAAGTCGAGCCCAAAGAGACGAAGATGAACTTAGATTTCTATGTTCTAATGGAGTCCTTCTTGGTCTTAAAAATCCCTTTCTCGCTGTTGGAAAGGGCGGCGTCGAAACTAGAGTCTGAGCTGGAGGACTTTGCCACCCGAAACAAGGTCTGGAGGCGGTCAAGGTCAGGCTGCATGTCCGTTTACCGACAGCGGATGAGGAATCCCGCCAGGTAGTGGTGAGTTTGGTACCACTACACACACACACAGTTTTCAAGTCATTTGGAATCCTCCGAATTATCGGGTCCTACACCAATTCTCATATTTGAGAGGGATGGGCCCGGGCCAAAGAGAGATTTGGGTGGTTTCATTTGAATGAGAGTTGGAGACTTGGACCGATTCTCCTTGTTATACATGTGTGTATATATATATATATATATATATATATATATATATATATATATATACACGGGGGCAAGGTTAGGGTTTCAATACAACTCCGATCATCCCAAGTTTTTAAGGCTACATCTGCGGCTCTCTCTCTCTCTCTTCCGTGTTCGAGACACCGGCCGGAACCGGTAGTCGCTGCCGCCTTACCAGTGAGGTAATTACTAAACTTTCCGTTTGATCTGTGTGGTTTCGGTCAGAGTTAGTCGCAACTTGAGGATGATGATGTTGATGATTATCGGTTGGTTATGACATGTGCTTTGTAATGTTGAAATTGGGGATGATAATGTTAAAATTGTTATGATGATGATGATGATAACGTTAAAATTGAGATGATAATGTTAAAGTTGTTATGATGATCGTCGGTAACGGCCTGAATTTCCTTTATGATCTGCTTTGATGATGATGATGATTAGATATTTGGCTGTAGATGTTGTGTGGTGTATTGGTTTGTTGATATAGATATTACTATCTGATTTGTTTTCCTTTGCAAAGTAGATAGAGTGTTAATGATAAATAAAATGAGTAATATTTCCAATGCATTTTTTGGATGGGGAATCTATTAAATTTGTGATAGTTATGAGCTTTTGTTTGGTTCCAGATCCACCGAAAATGAAAGAATCTGGCACTAGTCATCAGACTGAGAAACTGAAGGCAAGCCCTTCCCAAGAGTTGATCGTGAAAGATAAAGAAAAAAAGGGGAACATGTTTTTAGGCACACTGCTGAGAGAAATTTACATAAAAGATGAATTGAGAAAGCCTGCTTTTCAAAATGCGCAAACCTCAGATGCTCCTGACCAATCCAGTGCCAATGGACTCAATCCTGATATGCATCCTCAGGATTAGAAAGTACTTCTTATTCCAGAGTGTCTTACTAGTATTAGGATGGTCTTCATCCAAGACTTCAGTTTTATATTTGGAACGCTTCTAAGCTGTTGTCTTACTTTTTAGTTTATTGTATAAATAAATGGGGTGATTTTAACACTCCCTCTTGACCAATTTCAATCCAACTCTGCGCTTGTGGAATTCTTTTGTTTAATGTTTTGATGCTCCTCTACACATGGTTTAAATATGAAACCCTCTTTCTTGTGAAGACCCTAATGCATTTTGCTTGTACCAAAACAAATGATTTAATTGCTTGTACCTAATGTATCATTTTATCCATTACCCTCTCTTTAGAATAGAAGAGAAATAATATTACGAAAGAAAACAAAATGAAAGAAAATTATGAAAATAGAAAGAAAAAAAAGAGAGAAAAATAATGTCTTCCTCTTCGGTTGAATGCTAAATGTATGAATTGTGGTCTGATTGGGTTTTTCGGTTGGTTGTTGCTATTCAACCCCAAAGCAGACAACCGACTGATTAACCGATGATGGAAATATGGGCTCGTGCCCCCAGGCCCATAGGGAATATGCATGACCTCAGCAAATATATGGGCCTGCACCCATAGGGTAGAGAGCACGAGGAGGAGTAACTAGGGCGGGGAAGCTTCACTGGGGATCCCCTCGATCAAAGGGGGAGAAGGGAATGGTTGGAGATTTAAGTCATATCTTGGAGACAGTTGCGAGTCTTGTGACAGAATGGAATGATCGAAGATTTAAGTCATATCTTGTCTCTAAGTATTTTTCGAATTTTAATTTTTTTCGATAAAAATTAGTAAAACTTTGACAACAAATAAATTAAAAGTGATGTAAGATGTTGATAAAAAATTTTCTTTTTTTATTAGATTTATATTATAAAATATTATTTTATGTAATGGACATATCATATACGGAGTACTCCGTACTACTCCATATATTTTATTTGCTTATGGGTGGGTGGTGTTATTTATGGGCTGGGTGGGTGGTGGTTGATCTTCATCGCGCGACATCCATCCTCAATTTTCAACTGCCCGACAACATTGGCAAATTATACCGTACATCTGGCTGTACGGGAAGAACCGTACATCCGACAATTAATTAGGGCGAACGGTAGGTGACCCGCGCAAGAACGGCCGAATGGATCGGCCACGAAGGAGGCTGCACGATGGATTCCTGATCGGCGATTCCCGATGAAGGAGGCTGTGCGGCGATGAAGATGGAGGTTGTTGATGAAGGTCTTCCGCGGAGGTTGTTGGTGAAGATGGAGGTAGTTGGATCCCTATCAATTCTGCTTCCGTTCGCGATGGTCTTCTGCCGCAAGATCTTTTCTTCCGCTGGGAATGAGTCCTACTGTTATGAAGGTAGGTTGTTTAAGATTATATGAATGGTAGGTTGTTTGAGATTGAGTACTAGGTTATATGGGAATGAGTACTACTGTGTTTTGGAATGAATATTATGTTATTCGTAAATGAATATTGAACAAATTTGTGAAAGTGAGTACGACGTTATTTCTGAATGAGTACTGCATTGTTTCAGAATGAGTACCACATTTTTCAAATGAACTCTTATGTTTATGCGAGAATGAGTACTACTTTACTTCGGAATGAATACTATATGGATTTACCTATCTCAAGGTATATGTACCATATACCAACTAGACAAAATAGAATCACGAGCAGTTCATCGACATCCAAACGCCGCGATTGTTTTACTTAGATGGCGTTTGTGGCCAGGATCCAAAACTTCATCTCAATCTCCAAAAAAAAGAAAAGAAAAGAAACAAAGGAAGGAAAAAAACACTTCATCTCAAGATCGATCGATGGCTTCCCTTCCCGATTTTCATAGACCGATCAGAGATCCGTTCCCGTTCCGGTAGATCGGAGCAGTGCCATAGAATCCCACCCACGACGGAGAGCTTTTCAAATACCCCGACTCAGCAACGCTCATGACTCCACAACTGTTGTTGCAACCTGGCTTACCGAAGGTGCTTGGGCTGGGTCATTTTCTTCATTGTTTTCACAATTTAATGTTCCAAATCTTCTCCGTTTCATTTATACATCACCCCCCATCAATTTCTCATTTATTTCTTCAATTTAATGATAAATTTCATCTCAAGAACATTTTCCAATTTTCTTTTGTATGTAAATCTGAACTTAGCTCATTTTTATAGTTTACCTTTAGGATGATCTTTTCTAAATTCCCCTACTTTTTTTTGGCAAACATTCATAATTACATCACTTCAAAGTTCCAACTTTAAAAGATTTATTATTTTTTTTAAAAGTTTTTTTTAATATTGAAAAAAAGTTGTTTTTAATTTCATGATCACAATAAGGATTGAATGGTGCAATTAATATTAACAATTCTTAAATTCGTGGAACTGTGATTCTAGCATCATTGATGAACTGTTCTTTGGTACAGGCTATTCACTCTTAAATTCGTGGAACTGTGATTCTAGCATCATTGATGGTACAATTTTTTATTGTGAATTTATGATGTATTATTTTTATTGCATATGCTTAGTTCCACCATTGCATAAAATTGAGGTTCTATATATGATTTTCAAATCCATTGAGAGCAAGTGTTTGCTTAGTATAGAGTACTATGCAGTGTCTTCATTATTCTCTTCTTCTACCATGACCCCATATATGTTTGGGTTGTGGTAGCTTTTGGTGTGTGCACACATTTTGATTCAAATATTTGTTTTTTACGGTGTTTGCAGCTGCAAGACTACCTGAAATGGTAGAGATTCTTAACACTTCTGATATGAAAATTTCAAAGGCAATGGCATGATGTTTTAAATGACCAGGTTAGACTTCAAACTTATTTTGCCTATGATGGTCTATCTCTCTGAACACAAATGAAATGAAAAAATTTATTTGATTTATCCGTTTAGCAACTAGTATTGTACCAAGTAAAACATGAGTGGTGAGGAATGATGATACTGAAGCTGGTGGCCCATTTTCCCTTTTACAATTTGAAGGTATTGTTATCTTTTTAGCGTAAGAGCCTGCTTAGAAAGATTTGTTTAGCTTGTTGATTTTTTTTGGAAAGGAAAAGAGTTTGGTCACATCCATTACAGTTGAATGAGCATGTCAAAAACAATAATTTATTTTGCTTATGATCTGCGGATAAGGAAGAGTAATCAGAATAAACAATCTAATTAGGGGCTGTTTGGCAACTTCTAAATCGGTAAGTGCTGAACCAGTAAGAGGTCTCAACCATTAAGTGCTGAACCAGTAAGAGGTCTGAACCATTAAGAGCTAGTATATTGCTTAACTATTCAGAGGCAAATGTGTGATCAATTCAGATAAGAGGTCTTAACCATTCAAACTCTGTATAATACTTAACCATTTAGAGGTAAATCTCTTAACCATTCAGACATCTGAACCATTAAGAGGCTGAAACAAACAGTCTGAACCATTAAGTGCTGAACCATTCAGACATCTGAACCATTAAGAGGCTGAAACAAACAGCCCCTTAGTTTTTGACATGCTCATTCAACTCTAATGAATGTGACCAAACGCTTTCCCTTTTAAAAAAAAAATCAACAAGCTAAACAAACCTTACCAAAATAAACAGGCACATAGGCCACCAGGGTATCATTATTCCCCATCACTCATGTTTACTTGGTGCAAGACTACTTGCTACACGGAGAAATCAAATAAATATTTCCATTTGTATTCAGAGAGATAGACCTTCATCATAGACAAAATAAGTTTGAAGTCTAATTTAGTCATTTAAAACATCTTGCCACTGCATTTTCGGATCAGAAGTGTTAAGAATACCTACCAATTCAGGTAGTCCTGCAGCTGCAAACACCGTAAAAAACAAACATTTAAATAAAAAAGTGTGCACACACTAAAAGCTACCACAACGCAAACATATATGGGGTCATGGCACTGCATAGTACTCTATACTAAGGAAACACTTGCTCTCAATGGATTTGAAAATCATATAGAGAACCTCAATTTTATGCAATGGTGGATCTAAGCATATGGAATAAAAATAATACATCATAAACTCACAATAGAAAATAAAAAAAGAAGAAAAAAACCAGAGAACAATAAAGATAGAACCTAAGCTTAATTAGGCTTGGTGTAATTGTAAATAAATCCAACTTTGACTTAAAAATCCATAATAAATCAATGTCGTAAGTCGCAACACAATTATCATCATCAACATATCTTACAATGGAGGGTGGGGGGGGGGGGTGTATTTACATCCCTCTCGACATTGTAAGACTGATACCTTCAACTGGATTCATTTATGTGTTAGCTCTTTTTCCAGCTTCTTTATATTTTTCAAAGGGATGCATATGCAAATGCATGTTTGTTATAATATCCGGGAAGTTTTTATTTGTGTTTTCTTGAAGGTACTCTATCATCCTAGATTCCTAGGCATATCTTATTTCTTCTTTCTTGCCATGAAATTTCCATGTGGACATCTGAATGTCGCAACCTAACAGCAGTTTTGTAGGCATTTTTCTCCTATGTCAGGTGATCTTCCTTGAAGCTTTTCGTCGCTCACAAGCATGGCCAGCATGCAAGTGTGTTCATTTTTTTTGATGGAATATATTATTGCCTTCACACTATGTTTACCTCATGGGCACATTTCTAATGTTTAGGTACTTGCAAAAGAATCGGTTCACTGGGACAATTGATGTCTTTTCAAATCTACCCCTTGGTAATCTGTGAGTTGAATTGTTTTCTCTCTTCCAAACACAAAAGTAATTTTTTTTATTGAATTTCTTTAGTGACTTGCACTTTTTTGTTCAAGGAATGTTGAGAACAATCGTTTTACAGGTTAAAAAATTGGAACGGATGGTAACGCATGGAACTCAGGCCTGCAAGCCCACCTCCTCCTGGAACTGCTAGTAGCCTTCCCAGAAGTCACCATGGAAGCGCGCGAAGAATCCGTCAAATGGTGGAGGTAATGGCAGTGATGGTAGTGGAAAATCTGGTATAGGTGGTGGAGCTGTCGGTGGAATAGTAATATTCATTTCAGTAGTTGCAGCAATTCTAGCTTTCATTACTCTCAACAGAAGATCAAGAATAAGAAGATCAACTGATTTGGGAAAAAGTGTCCACTGTCTCCTCTGCTTAGAAGGGTGATCAAGGTATTGCATGGTCTTATAAACTAAAAACTTGTATGCTTCTTTTTCCCATATCGAAACAGAATCTTCAACAACTTTTACTTAAGACACATATATATTTCACATAGCATATATGATCTCTAATACTCTGAATATCTTTTCTTCTCAATTATTTTTCCACAAACAGAGATGAAAGCTATTGAAACTTTCTCCACAATGAGCACAGAAACATATCAGACTCCTGTTGTAGTAAATCTAAGACCTCCCATGGCTCCGTCCGCCAATCAACCGTCACAAATCGTTTGAAGAAGATGACATGTCAGCAAAATCCACGCAAAATCCACTGTTCCCCCAAACCAAGTCAGCACATCAAAGATAAGTGCTACTTGGTATTCTATAGCAGACTTAATACAGATAGTATAGATCATAAGTGTTGAGACTGGATTATATACTCCCTCCGTTCCTAAAAGATTGCTACAGTTTGACTTTTTTGGTATATTTTGACCACGAATTAAATATAGTTTAAAATGAATAAATATTTTAAAATTTTGATACTTCAAAAATATATATTTTAAAATAAACCTAATTTTACTAAATTTAAATATACGTTTTCCATAAAACCTAATTTACTAAATTTAAATATACGTTTTCCATAATTTGCGGTCAAAAAGTGCCACAGTTTGACCAAAAAAGTCAAACTGTGGCAATCTTTTTGGGACGGAAGTAGTATCATTTTGACTTTTTGTGAGTTTCAAAGAGAGTTTCAAAGGTTAAAGTTTGACCAAAATATCCTTAACTAAGGCCATGTTCTCTTCACATGATCTGATTAGTTCTGAGGATAACACGGCCTAAAATGGGTGGAGTATATTGAATAAGGTAGGTGAGGTGTAATAAATAAAGCAAGTGTGGGTCATTGTATTTTAAATGTTAAAAGGGCTAATAAGAAGATCTATGAGGGGCAAATAAAAGGGCTAATGGTAAAATCTACAGGGGACGGAGAGAGTGCATGAGTAATCCAAACTTATCAATACTCCTTTCGTCCAAAAAAGATTGCCATAGTTTGACCAAGGTTAGTCAAACTGTGCAACACTCTGACCACGAGTTATGAATGTTCAACTTTTTGGCATGGTTTGAGCATGTGTATGGCATTGCACTGTTCCATTTCAATCGTTCCCACACCTAGTAAATTTAGAAAAATAAGGTTTATTTTGAAAAAATGATCTTGATATATTAAATTTTATAACACTTATTATTTAAAATTATATTTAATTTATAGTCAGAATGTGTCACAGTTGGACGAAAAAATATCTTTTTGGGACGAAGGTAGTACGTTGATATATATATATATATATATGTATGTATGTATGTATGTGTGTGTGTGTGTGTGTATGTATGTATTCTTTGAACTTCATTAATTTCATACGGAGTATTATGTGCGTTAGAATGAGCAAGGGTCTCTTTTGCTTAAAAGTAACACTTTTACTTGTCTTTCTCATCAGTAGGCCTCAAGGTGTTTTGATAGTAACCCAAAAACAATTGAAGAGGATCAAATTAGTGCACATCCACCACCCAGTAAGCTACTCCCTTCATCCCATTTTATATTGCTTGTTTTGACTTTGAGACATATTGAAGGCATGGAAAAAGTGGTGTTAATTTTTTAAAAATGCTTTACTTTTTTTACGTGAGTGGTGATGAATGAGAAGATAAGGTGGAAAAGAGTGGCTTATTTTAGGAGTAGTTTAGGTATTTTACACTTCAAAGTTTATTATTATAAGAAACATGCAACTTATTTTGGAACGGACAAAAAGAAATTAAAAACAGGGCATTTAAAATGGGACGGATGGAGTAATATTTCAAGATATTAGGATTAAAAAAACGTTGTGCAATTCTGAATTTGTATTAATCCAAAAATGATCTTTGACCATATGTTTTTATATTTACGTAATCCGTGTATAGAATTAAATACTACAGAGTATGTTACTTTTTCATGGATAATTAATTTTTTTTTTCTTTTCAAAAATCATATTGATAAGTGATGTTTAAAAGATTGCATTCTAACTTGTGGTGCTTGGTTTTTGAAAATAAGTCACAAGAGCTAGCAACTCCAACCTCTCAAGTCTAATATTTACCCTCCAACGGATACAACAAAAAATACGTACACCGTAATGTATTTTTCTTCTGACATCGTTCTCATATATACGCGATAGTGCAAACCCTGAGGTAGGCTCTGCGTTCTCAAATTTATTTCCGGTCTTTTTCTTCTTCGGGTCTCCTCTCGCTCCAGGTAGGCTTCCTTGAATCTCTTTCCACAAAATTTTTCTCATCAACGCTATATGGTTTGAGCAAGATTTTTAGATGTACCAATTTCCAGATTTATTTTTTTTTGCGTTTTATGCCCTCAAGTGTTTCCCCTCAAAGATTAAAATTTAAGAAAAAATGATTTGTATTCTGAAAATTTTCTTGAATTTTTGCTCAAAAATTTTATACTGCAAAAAAAATAAAATATCAAGGAGAACTTTTTTTTATCAGGGGTATTAACTCTCCATGTCTTTATTGCAAGGCAATTCTAAATCTGTATTTAATTTTAAAGAGAAGGTATTGAGCAGAATTAAATGTATTTTTTAGACTCCAATAATTATACTAAATACGTATAAAAACATATACAATAGTGCTATTTCAGTGCTTTACCCTTAAAAAATACTCCAATAATTATACTAATCTCTGTCCCTAATTAAATAACACATATATTATTTACTTTGTCAAATTTTATTCACTTTTTTACCTATTGTAAATATAATAATAATATTAATTAATAATAACAATAACAAGTATAACACTCATAATGAGAATACTATATAAAATATACATAAATAAATTTTTGAATTTTTTCCTTTTTCTCCTTTTTTTTTACACTTTTTTCTAGTTTTCCCCCGTTAAGTATCAACCCTATCGAGTTGTCGACGTCGCCCAACGACTATAGCCCCCCGACGCCGGTCGACTCTCCAATCGCCTACTACAGAGCTGTGTCGTCCCACGCCAGGCCGCCACCACCGTGAACAGGTAGTCAGGTATGCTACTTCTGTTCTTCTAAGTTCTAACCTCCATCTGCAATTAACTTTTTTTGGATTCGAAACTGAACCTGTCGATAATATACATTTGAATCCACAAAATGAATGATTTTAGATTATTGATTACATAATTACTGATGATTTTGTTTAATTCTCATAGAAAATCCAATTAAAAGTTATAGATTACTGGGTAGAAACCCCGATTATCCAGACTAATGGACGATTGGACGGTCTAAATTATCTAAGTAATGGTAAACTACCTTGTAATTTGTCTGGGTAACACAGGTCTTTCAATCCTTTATTCTAATTGTATACTCCTGGGTATATGTTTTGCTGATGGTTATTACTTCTTCATTAAAGTGTTCCAGGATACTGACGACACTAAAAATCAATTAAAAATAAGCAGATACATCTGTTCCTCACCGTCAATGTTCACCTATTTCCGTATTTGATCAATTTCACATTATAGTTCAGATTCTCTATTATAAACTCCCCAGAGATGATAATTCTAAACATTTACTGTACGAATAATCTGTTCACAACTTGCCCAGCCTGAAGAATGAAGTGAATTAAATCTACTTCTAATGTTAAAAACATGTGGACAGATCTTCTCAAACTATGGAGTATATTCACTAAGTGCATTTTTAATGTTGGTTGCTTAAGAGTTGCTTAGGAATATTTTTTTAAAGCAATATTTATTCATGGTCATGACATTGCCCCCTTTTTAACCAGATCCTTGTCCTCAAAGATCAAATCTGGAAACTTCAGTTTGATATCCTCTGCATCTTCCCAAGTTGCCTCCTCTGGTGACGAGTAAGACCAATGCACTAAAATCTGAGCAACAGGCAAATTGTTCCTAGTGATCATCCTCTTACCAATCACCCCAGCTGGAAATATTTTAAATGAGCCATCCCCAACAGAGATTGGTAACTCCTTTGAAGGTTTCCACTTTCTTTTAATTTGTTTCTTCAAGAGGGAGACATGGAAACCGGGTGCATTTGAGCATTAGGGGGTAGATCCAGTTTATAGGCCAAGTTGCCTACCTTACCAATCACCTTGAACGGTCCATAGTATCTTGGGGATAACTTCAAATTTCTTCTAAGGGATAATGAATTTTGTTTGTAGGGTTGAAGCTTCAGATATGCTTCATCTCCTACCTCAAAAGCTCTTTCACTCCTCTTCTTATCTGCATAAAGTTTCATTCTTTGTTGAGCCTTCACTAGGTTGTCTTTTAGAAGTTGAAGCATATTCCCTCTTTCCTTCAATAGTTCTGTCACCCCAACAGAATTGCTCCTAAACTCAGAACCAAGTGTAAGCAATGGGGGTGAATAGCCATACAAAGCTTGGAAGGGAGTGGATTGTAGACTAGTGTGGAAATTGGTGTTGTACCAATGTTCTGCTAAGGGTAACCAGCTGCCCCATTTCTTTAGTTTGTCCATAGTCATGCAACGTAAGTAGTTTTCCAAGCACTGGTTAAGTCTTTCTGTCTGCCCATCACTTTCTGGATGATAAAAAAGTGGAAAAATTTAATTGTACCCCAGATAATATGAACAACTCCTTCCAAAATGTGCTAGTAAATACTTTGTCCCAATCTGACACAATTCCACATGGCATTCCATGAAGCTTATAGATATTTTCAAGAAAGAGCTTTGCTATTACCTCTGCAGTGTATGGATGTGAGATGGCAATAAAATGTCCATACTTTGTCAGCTTGTCAATGACCACTAATATCCCATTTTTTCCTCCGGAGTTCGGTAACCCTTCCACGAAATCCATTGAAATCTGCTCCCAAGCTTGTTCTGGAATTTGTAGAGGCTGTAATAAGCCTGGTGAATGTACATGCTCCACCTTGACTCTCTGCCATACATCACAACTCCTAACTATATCTTCTACATGCTTTTTAAGGCCCACCCAAGTAAAATAAGATCTTAATCTCTTTAATGTTCCCAGTATCCCTGAGTGACCTCCCAAAGCAGAATCATGGAAGAACTTCACTACTGTCTCTCTCAAATTTCCTGACGAACCAATGTAGATTTTGTCTTTAAGTTTAAGTATTCCCCGTGTGAAAGAATACTCTGGAAATGCTCTAGAATCTACAGCTTTTGCTGCCAGAATGTCTGTAGCTACAAGATCTCCATCATACGAATCTATAATTTCTTGCACCCGAAGTGGTTGAACTGCAGACATCATATTAATTTTGGATTCCCTTCTAGAGAGAGCATCTGCCACCTTGTTTTCCACCCCCCTTTTATATTGCACTTCATAGTCCATTCCAAGCAATTTACTCACACATTTCTGCTGCAAAATTGAGGTGAGCTTCTGCTGTAAAATATATTTGAGGCTGTGCTAATCAGTTTTGATGACAAAGTGGTTACCTTGAAGGTAATGCCTCCACTTAGTCACTGCTGCCATTAATGCCATGATTTCCTTTTCATAAATCGACCTTCCCATGTTTTTAGGTCCCAATGACCTACTAAAGAATGCAATAGGTCTCCCCTTTTGAGTGAGAACTGCCCCAAGCCCATTATAACATGCATCTGCTTCAACAATAAATGGGATAGAGAAGTCCGGTAGTGCCAAGACTGGAGCTGTAGTCATGGCTTGCTTCAAAGTATTGAATGCGTGTGTTGCAGATTCTGTCCACTTAAAGCAATCTTTCTTCAATAAATCTGTCAATGGTTTACTTATTAAACCATACCCTCGAATGAACTCTGTAATATCCTGTAAGGCCAAGAAATCCCCTCAATGCCTTCACTGATCTAGGTGTTGGCCAGTTCACCATACTCTCTATTTTTGTTGGATCAGTGGCTACCCCTTGAGCTGAAATAATGTGGCCAAGATATTCTATCTTTTGTTGTCCAAAGCTACATTTACTTGAATTAGCATACAATTGATGTTTCCTTAGTAACTGCATCACTATGGTCAAATGGTTAATGTGATCATTCCAAGTCTTACTATACTCTAAGATATCATCGAAGAAGATCAGGATAAACTTCCTTAGATATGGAGAGAAAATATGATTCATAAGACTTTGAAATGTAGCAGGAGCGTTGCACAACCCAAAGGGCATTACTAGGAACTCATAATGTCCTTGATGGGTAAGAAAGCTGGTTTTATGAATATCAGAATCCCTAACTCTTATCTGAAAATACCCAGATCTTAGATCAATTTTAGAGAAGAACTTGGCCCCAAGCAAATCCAACAATTCATCAATTACTGGTATTGGATATGCATGTTTGAGAGTGAGTGAATTGACATACCTATAATCCACACACATCCTCCATCTTTCTTCTTTACCAACAATACAGGAGATGCAAATGAACTAGTACTGGGCCTTATAACTCCTGAAGCAAGTAGTTCTTTAACAATCTTTTCAATCTCACTTTTTTGGGAATGTGGGTATCTGTAAGGAGCCTGCTTTTTTGGTTCTGAATCCCGCTTCAATTCTATTTGATGTTCAATCAACCTCCTGGGTGGTAATTCAGAGGGTTCTTGGAATATATCTGAATATTCATTCACCACGGATTGAAGGGAGTCCTCTACTATAACCTGAGTATCTTCTACCATACTTAAAGAGAAGAGCTGACCTATCATCCGGGCTCCCTTTTTAAAGAACTTCTGCATTGATTGCACGGTCATAATCTTCAACTCTCCTCTTTCTGCATCAGCTTTGATAACCATTTGCTTCCCATGGAAGTCCAATGTTATTTGCAAATTAGAGTAATCAAATAAAATGGGTGTATAACCTCTTAGCCAATCTCCTCCTACTACCATTTCACATCCTTGTAATGCAATCACTCTAAATGGAAACTGGAATCTGTTTCCTTGAACTTCCCACGTAAAATCCGGGCATATTGATTTACTGATTAGGGTCCCTCCATGAGCTAAACTCACCACCATTGGCCTAGCATCCTGGACATCACACCCCAACCTTTTGCAAGCCTGCTCATTGATAAAGCAATGACTACTTCCAATGTCAATCATGAAGTAGATCTCTTGATTGTAAGCCTTCCCCTTGACCCTCAATGTATTAAGGCTATTTTGTCCTGCTAAAGCATTCAATGATATGTTGAAATTTTCTTCCTCAGCTTCTATTTCCTTCCCTAACAGCATGGTAGTCAAACTCGCGAGTTGACTCATACGAGTCTACGAGTCTGAGGATAGCCGGAAGCTTCCCGATCCGAGACGGATGCAGAATCGCGAAATCCAATCGGAACGTCTGGATCGGCAATTCTGTTCGTGAAAACGCAGGATTGCATACAATCGCCGATTGTGAAAAGCCCAAACAGCGTCGCTTCAAAATCTTCTTCCAATAGCAATTTGAAGTTGTCGGGAATTGCAATTGGAAAGCCGCGTCTGTCGCGACTACCAATTTCAATCGGAAACCATCGTTTCTTTTATTTATTCCCAATTTCAATTGGAAACCAGCGTAAATAGTTTATCCTCTTCTATATATTTGGGAATCGAGACTCCTACTGCCAATAGACTTCTGCCAATAGACTTCTAATCGCTACATAGGCTTTTATTTTTTCTGCTTCTGCGACATCCAATCCTCTGTCGCGACTTGGGACACTTCTGCATCTGTGACTTCTAATCCTTGTGTTATATATATATATATATATATATATATATATATATATATATATATATATATATATATATATATATATATATACACGATCTTCATTATGCTTATCGATCCTACGTAAAATCTAAAGTTTGACTACCATGCCTGACAGGGTATCATGTTCACAAAGGTTGTTCTCTTCTTCCTCTGTCATCATGAGGAAGATCTGTCGAGACTTGCACCTGTGGCCTGGAGTAAATATTTTATCACAATTGTAACACAGATTCTTCTCCCTACGGGCTCTCATTTCCTCGGCTGTGAGAAGCTTCCTGGTAGTTGTAGTATTACTAGTAGGTTTCTGGGAAGTGTGTATGTTCCCCTTCGTTGGCAAAGCTATAAGTCCTCTTCCCTTAAAGCCGACCTTTGCCCTCTTTGTGATAGCTTCAATCATAGCCTCATGCTTCTTTGCCACTGCATAAGCCTCTTGAAGTGAGGTAGGTTTGGTATTGAGAACAGAGCCTCTAATGTCTTCTCTTAGCTTAGTTACAAAGCATTTCAACACATATGATTCTTCAAACTTGTGAAATATTGTTACAGCAGACTTTAGTTCTTCAAATTTCTTAATATACCCTGCAATTGTGGTAATCTGTATACAATCATGAAACTCTGCCACAATCAATTCTGGATCCATCTCATCAAATCTAACCAAGACCTGCTCAATCAATTTCTCCCATGAAATCGACCCTTCTTCTTTGACAAGTCCATGATACCAGTTAACAGCTTCACCATCCATATGCACAGCCGCTAATGGAGCCTTGTGTTCCTATGGGATAGTGGACATTATCTGAAAATACCAACTGGTGCGACGAATCGAAGCCCTAGGATTGGTTCCATCAAGTCTAGGAAATTCCACCTTAGAGAAGGGTGAGAAGATAGACTTACTGTTGTGAGTAGCTGTATTATGTGATTCCAGAGACATATGGGTGGAGCTGAGTGTGTTGACTGGAATCAATCTGCCACATCCGAGTATCGATTTGCTCTGGTTGAGTAACTGTACTTGTTCGGTGATGGCCTTGAACTGTGCTTGAATCAGATCTTGATTCCTTTCCATAGCGTTTTGTATACTATTCAAGCCATCATTCACACGCTGCTCCAACAATTCTCTCTGTGCTTTCTCCTCAATCCAAGATGCTTCCAATCGTCTTGGTGCCACTGCAAGATCCTTAGATCTGGTTTGAATGATTGAAGCATCAGCCATAATTCTATGTCAGGAGCGACGGCGCTCTGATACCAAATGTAATGATCGGAGATCTCACCAAAAAGGTAAAAGCAAAAGAATACAGAAAGGGGATGAGGAAGGGAAGAATTTTAGATGAGAAAATTGTAGTAATTATTCTTGTCCTTCATATGTCCCAAAACATACATATATAATGGGGTCACAATTCACAAACTGACAACATACTGAAATAGCTAAAAAAAAGAAAAGTAATACTAGCTAAAAAAGAAGAACATTAATTTTTTTAAAGCAATATTTATTCATGGTCATGACAAAAAAAACCTTTTCAACTGTTTGACTAAAGTCCTCCAACTTGTCCCGCATATCATCAGCATCTTCTCTTTTCTTTTCTGCTTCATACTTTGCAAGGATTCTACAACCAGTTATCATACACCATAGCTCTGCGGTCCCCTCCAAGAGGGAGGCCCCAACAACTGCTCCTCCCTCACTTTGAACACACCCTTTTGCCCAACAATACAATTCAGCTCTTTTGGAAAGCCGCTTGGGTCTAGAGAACTCTGAACTACACAAAGTAAATAAATACTTAGATATTAATGATGGCCTTTATGTTTAGGTGTCGCAAACTGTTTTTTTAAACCACACCTCAATCATCATCTCTCTTAGCATGAGTGCACTAACACCAACTATCTCAATGCATTCTTTATCCCACAATAGGAGAGTTGTATGACCACTATTATCAAAGACACGAACACTCTGCGTAGATTACTTATGTTAGAAATTTGAATAGCTTTTTTTTGTATGGAAAACATGGTATCTTTACAACACTTTAAGCTTTACTTATAGTCGCCATGTGGTATTAACTTCTCACAACCCGAGCATCTAAATCTTATCTCCTCGGGCAGAACCTTTGAGTTACAACTTATTCAACCTAGATAGCACCAATCCCCCAGTGTTTTAAAGGGACGCAATCTCCACAATGATCCAATATGGTCCTGCCTTTAGATTAAAAAAAGTATAACTAGAAAAAGTAGTTATATATTCCATGTCCTAAAGTTTTAAATTGTGTATATAGTTCCCTCACCACAGTTTCTTCAAGTAACAATTCAACACGTCATTGTCCTTATCATTACTACCACTAAGGAGCACACTGCTGAAGGTGGTGCCATCGTCCACGTGAAGTGGAAACCTATGAAATTTAACAGTGTAACTTTAAAAAAAAATTATGAGAAGAGTTGCTAAGATCGTTGAAAATGCAGAAACAGTAGGTTTTTACCTCGCCTTAAAATAAATGGTTTCACTGGAGTTTCCGTCATAAATGACCTTTGTGACTTGCATTTAATAATGTATTTAGGTATTTAATAATGTAACTCTCATTTTTTTGCAGGTCAAATGGAGCACCAGCCTCTAAAAGACTGCCTTGCCTGCAGTCCCTGATACAACACTGGAGGAGTTGGAGAGCATTGGACGTCGGGTGTCCTTTAACTTACGAGAGCTCATGATTGAAGCACTTATTGAAAAAGTAAAGGAACAGCTAAGGATAAATTAGTTCCACTTGTGCATGTAGATCTATAAGTAATGTATCTTTATTTTAGGGTGTTGATGAAGCTGACCTGGATAGTAGCATGATAAAGATTCAGGCGCACATGAGCTGGATATTTAATACACATGATTTTGAGGTATGTGTTTACATGGTTGTTAAGTCGACAAGTCGAGTCGGTGACGGGGAGACTAGTGGACTAGGCGATTAGTCCTAGACTAGTCGACAAATCACAATTAGTATAGAAATTTTTAACATTATATATGTGTTAGCCATAATACATAATTAATAATAGTTTTGGGCATATATGTATTTTCTCTATTCTAGTTCTGTATATTGTGCATGGACTCCTTGACATAATTGAGATTGGATTACAAAATCCAAGAATATGTCTACATTAACCCAACATAAATGTAGACATATTCTTGGATTTTGTAATCCAATCTCAATTATGTCAAGGAGTCCATGCACAATATACAGAACTAGAATAGAGAAAATACATATATGCCCAAAACTATTATTAATTATGTATTATGGCTAACACATATATAATGTTAAAAATTTCTATACTAATTGTGATTTGTCGACTAGTCTACGACTAATCGCTTAGTCCACTAGTCTCCCCGTCACCGACTCGACTCGACTTGTCGACTTAACAACCATGTAAACACATACCTCAAAATCATGTGTATTAAATATCTAGCTCATGTGCACCTGAATCTTTACCATGCTACTATCCAGGTCAGCTTCATCAACACCCTAAAATAAAGATACATTACTTATAGATCTACATGCACAAGTGGAACTAATTTATCCTTAGTTGTTCCTTTACCTTTTCAATAAGTGCTTCAATCATGAGCTCTCGTAAGTCAAAGGACACCCGGCGTCCAATGCTCTCCAACTCCTCCAGTGTTGTATCAGGGATTGCAGGCCACTTGGCCCATAAGCAGGCAAGGCAGCCTTTTAGAGGCTGGTGCTCCATTTGACCTGCAAAAAATGAGAGTTACATTATTAAATACCTAAATACATTATTAATTCCAAGTCACAAAGGTCATTTATGACGGAAACTCCAGTGAAACCATTTATTTTAAGGCGAGGTAAGGACCTACTGTTTCTACATTTTCAACAATCTTAGCAACTCTTCTCATAATTTTTTTTAAAGTTACATTGTTAAATTTCATAGGTTTCCACTTCACGTGGACGATGGCACCACCTTCAGCAGTGTGCTCCTTAGTGGTAGTAATGATGAGGACAATGACGTGTTGAAGAAACTGTGGTGAGGGAACTATATACACAATTTAAAACTTTAGGACATGGAATATATAACTGTTTTTTCTAGTTATACTTTTTTAAATCTAAAGGCAGGACCATATTGGATCATTGTGGAGATTGCGTCCCTTCAAAACACTGTGGGATTGGTGCTATCTAGGTTGAATAAGTTGTAACTCAAAGGTTCTGCCCGAGGAGATAAGATTTAGATGCTCGGGTTGTGAGAAGTTAATACCACATGGCGACTATAAATAAAGCTTAAAGTATTGTAAAGATACCATGTTTTCCATACAATAGAAAAAAAGCTATTCAAATTTCTAACATAAGTAATCTATGCAGATACAAGGTCAGTGTTTGTGTCTTTGATAATAGTGGTCATACAACTCTCCTATTGTGGGATAAAGAATGCACTGAGATAGTTGGTGTTAGTGCACTCATGCTAAGAGAGATGATGATTGAGGTGTGGTTTTAAAAAAAACAGTTTGCGACACCTAAACATAAAGGCCATCATTTAATATCTAAGTATTTATTTACTTTGTGTAGTTCAGAGTTCTCTAGACCCAAGCGGCTTTCCAAAAGAGCTGAATCGTATTGTTGGGCAAAAGGGTGTGTTCAAAGTGAGGGAGGAGCAGTTGTTGGGGCCTCCCTCTTGGAGGGGACCGCAGAGCTATGGTGTACATTCCATGATAATTGGTTGTAGAATCCTTGCAAAGTATGAAGCAGAAAAGAAAAGAGAAGATACTGATGATATGCGGGACAAGTTGGAGGACTTTAGTCAAACAGTTGAAAAGGTTTTTTTATGTCATGACAATGAATAAATATTGCTTTAAAAAAATTATTGTTCTTCTTTTTTAGCTATTATTACTTTTCTTCTTTTTTAGCTGTTGTCAGTTTGTGAATTGTGACCCCATTATATATGTATGTTTTGGGACATATGAAGGACAAGAATAATTACTACAATTTTCTCATCTAAAATTCTTCCCTTCCTCATCCCCTTTCTGTATTCTTTTGCTTTTACCTTTTTGGTGAGATCTCCGATCATTACATTTGGTATCAGAGCGCAGTCGCTCCTGACATAGAATTATGGCTGATGCTTCAATCATTCAAACCAGATCTAAGGATCTTGCAGTGGCACCAAGACGATTGGAAGCATCTTGGATCGAGGAGAAAGCACAAAGAGAATTGTTGGAGCAGCGTGTGAATGATGGCTTAAATAGTATACAAAACGCTATGGAAAGGAATCAAGATCTGATTCAAGCACAGTTCAAGGCCATCACCGAACAAGTACAGTTACTCAACCAGAGCAAATCGATACTCGGATGTGGCGGATTGATTCCAGTCAACACACTCAGCTCCACCCATATGTCTCTGGAATCACATTATACAGCTACTCACAACAGTAAGTCTATCTTCTCACCCTTCTCTAAGGTGGAATTTCCTAGACTTGATGGAACCAATCCTAGGGCTTCGATTCGTCGCACCAGTTGGTATTTTCAGATAATGTCCACTATCCCATAGGAACACAAGGCTCCATTAGCGGCTGTGCATATGGAATTGAAAAAACTACCTCTTTAACTTGCTGAGGGTTAAAGGGTTGTATGAGCTTGTGTGTTTTCATTAATCATTTGATAAAATACTATAGTCACATCCTAGTTCGTAGAAATTTTGACGTGGTTTTTTAAATATATGAGTTCTATTATTTATGTCTATTTTCAATTTTTAAATAAAAAGAATTAAAGAAACACTTCATTTTGCCATGTTACTTCATAAGTCTTATGTGGGGACGGAGGGACCGAGGGAGTACTCATAAAGAAATTGAGTCCAAACATATGAGATATGCATATAATAAATTAATTGTGTTTGAGCACACTAGTATTTCACCTGTGCGATGCACAGGAATAAATTAATTCTACAATTTAAGATAAATATAATACATAAAAAAACAATTCTAAAAATTTTAAATGAATAATATTAAAAATATAATTTTTTGTATAGCTGGTACTACGGTATATTATTTACCTAAATAGCAAAAAATATATGTCTACCTATGTAAGCATGTTTTTTTATTAAATTCTAAATTTAATCAGCAATACACATGATAAAAGTATAATTTTTTTGGACAATTTCCTTTTTTATCAATAATAGATATGTATTGATTTTGTGATTCATTATAATCTGCATCATATATAAAAATCAACAAATGTTAAAAGTTAACATTTGATATGCTTTGTTACGTATAATTACGTAAAATTAAAAGCTAGCATAGATGGAAACAAATACGACAAAAATTAATGACCAAAATTGCAAAAGGACTTCCAGCAGCATACATCATTTTGTTCTCTATTTTGTAGGGATTCAAGTAGTTGGGCCCCTATCAAATCCCTTTCTAATTCTTCTTGCAGTATTTCCTCATCGATCTGCAAAGGGGTGAGTGACCTTAGGTTAAAACCAAAGCTTGTAGAGTTGTAGGAAGAAAGGGTACAAATGATGAAAACAAACTTCATAAGTTTAGGATGAGAGAAAGAAGAAGCTCAGTAGATGAAAAATAAATTTAATATATCCAATCAGAGTTAGCCCTAAACAGCTTATTAGTTCGATACAACCAACTAATATCATAGCCAAACCTTTTGAAAACATAATCATTTTTCTCAATCCTGGAACATAAAAGAAAGCATCATTATAACATGTCTTTTAACTTTCACTGACTTGCTCATAAAGATAGTGTTTTGCATCATGTGTTTATTTATAAGCAATATAGGAAGACATAAAAAGAGAAAAAAAATGTCAACATGAAGGAATTGGGAAGGGAAAAGAAAATATGAAGAAGAGAGGGAGAGAAATAGTTGTTTGTACATACCTTATGTCCTTACCTACAGGTCTTACACTCCCGTTATTCTTTTTCATTTTTATTTTATTTTATATTTTAAACTCATCATACTTCACAGTCAGAGAATAAGCAAATATAGAGAACCAGGTTGAAAAGTGAAAGGAACTCTTAGAGTCTTAGACAAAAACAGGTTAGACATGGATGGCGGACTGGTATCGTAGCTCGGACGTTCCCACATGGATGGACTCTTTCATTAACCTGAGTTAGCTCATTTTGTTTAACAGGTATGAACTCAAAATATTTGCATGCCTACCCCGTAGTCTATTCACATTTGCCTCATCCTTCCTGTTTGATGTGGCAATATTGTCATCATCCCGGATCTTGCAGGGCCGACCACGACCATCTTTTTTTTCCTGCCCCTAGCCTTGAATGCTTTTTGAGGTAGATTAATATCATGCTTATGATCCTCCTTTACGACTGCCGCATCGACAAAGCCTGTATTAGCTTCAGTTCGCTGAGTCTCTGCTTCACTTGTACATTTCACCTTGGACCTCAACACCCTTCCACAGTTTTCAGTTTGACACACTAAAGGTTTATGGTTGTTTTTTTCTTTCTTTTGACTTCATCATCACAAACTTTAGCATTTTCAGCATTTTTCCTTTTTCGTCCTCTTTTTGCTTTCTGGATCACCTTCTCATTCTCAATCAAGTCACTCGTTCCACCATCAAGTGAATTAGCACTCCCAACAGCCACAGCCTGCCCACTAATATCACTTTCCAGTTTTAGACATCCCTTGCCAACATTAGATTCTTGTAATGTGACTGGTTCTTCCTTTATAGAGCCCACCAAATTAGAGATTCTGGATAATCCACTGTTCCTGCCCAAGTTACCTTCCCTGGCTGCATCAAAAACACATTGGACCAACTTTGACTCTTCAACACACACTGCAGCAGTTAACTCTACATCCCTATCAGACCCACCATCATTTTCCACAGCTTGCCCACTTCTTTCATTTTCCACTTTAAGACATCCATTCCCAACATTAAATTCTTGTAACAAAACTGGTTCTTCCTTAATAAAGCCCGGCACATTAGAGATTACGGATAATTCCCCGTTCTCACCTAAACTCCCTTCTACTACTGCACCGACGCCGCATTGGACCAATGCAAGCTTCAACACACCTGCCAACAGCTGCAGCTAACTCTACACCCTTATCTAACTCAACATTTACCACTCTGCCCCACTCCTCAAACTTATTGCCCAAAGAAAGAAAATCACATTTCTTAAGGGCTTCAACAGAAAGGGTTATGGAGATTAACGTTATTTTCAAACCAAAAAGTTCTATCCTTTATCCTATCTTTTACATAACCTATCTTTTATCCCACATTTCTTCTACATAATCGTAATGCTCCCTCCTTCATTGAATAACACACACACACACACGTTATTCTTATTTTATACCATTCTAAATGTGCTCCTAGATTTCCCTTTTCCATTCTCTCCACATGCTTCTAGCAAAGATAAATTCCTACAATTTCTTTTCAATTATTCTTATCAATTTTAAAGAAACAAAACAAAACCAAAGTTCAACGCACTGATAGAAAATAAAAGAAAGCTGCCTAAGACTAAAACCTATAAAAACTCAATATGTATACCCTACTCTCGTAATGATGAAGTCATGCTAATGTTATCCCACTTTCAAATATGTATTGACCTTTGAGATAAATAAGGCAAACACCTACTTATTTCAATAGCATATTAAGTGTGATTAACCTTCGAGGCGGAGAGATTGATAGGTAGCATATCACAAACCACTTGATCAAGATCAGAAGACCTGCCTTGTATCAAAGTATTCTCATCAATACAAAGATCCTAGGACAAATACTCCAAAGCGCCATTCACCACTCTGTACCACACAAATGAACAAAATTTAAAACGAACAGATTTAAGAGACAAACCTAAGATACTTTTCAGTTTTGAAATGGTGAATATAATTACCATAAAACTGGTGGACACTGGATCAAGATGCATTATCATTACCATATATTACATCCTTTCTAAGAAAAGAGTCCAGTTTACTATTTGAGAGTCAATCAATATGTTTTCGTTTATGTACTAAAAAACTACTCGTATATACTTTCTGAATGTTGTAAATTATGGAAGAAAGAAAGTTTTGACTTTTTGAACGTGGAGTGATATATTAATGATTTGCTTGTTGGGAGCAACACAATTCAAAGTGTTGATTAAACTAAAGTTTACAGTTTCAAAATCAAAGATTTATTTCATTTGAATATTGACTATGGATTGTTTTGTTAGCTAATAAACACATAATTACATCAATGTTAAGGTTAAGATAATAAAAAAAATATAAAAATAAATACATCCAAGTAGATGAGAAGTACTCTTTGAATCGATTGGGCAGGAATAATATGCCTAATACTCTTTCCTTAAAGATGCCTCTTTTTTCACCGCTTGTTTGGTTGTCATAACTGAAATTACCTTCTTCCCATGCCCCATTCAGCAAATAAAAAATAGAAACAAAATAAATCAAACTGCAGTACCTTGGTTAATCATTAATCATCTTAGAATGCCAATCTTGATCAGTGTCATTGTATTTCAGTAAACATATGCACACCTCCTAAAATGAGCAGCACCAATGTAAAGATCAGATTTCGAAAGGATCTGGTGAAAGAATATACATGACAAAGAGAAAACTCAAGGAGTGACTGAGGTATCCCATGACATGGTGTTTATAGTCATCAACTCTTAATAGTTTCATTAATCTCATCCTTGACATTCTGATGTCATCAATCTTAACATATACTACTCTGTCACAATATTGTTGAGATCTATTTAACAAACCCTAAACTTATTTTGAGAAAGCTGCAAAATTGATAAAATTAAAATAAAATTGATATGGATCGCGATATATAGAAGTGTAGATGGAAAGATGATAGGTTTAAAACCTTAATTATGAAAAAAATGAAGAAATTGATGAAATTTTTATGTACGATACGCGCCAGGTCAAATGTTGTAGAAGATGAACAGTATTCCCACAGGTTTCTTTGTCTTCTCTGTTTCATTCCTACCGCTTCTAAGAATCCGTTTCGTCGCCGACATTGCACCGGATATTAAAAAGCCCTTATATTTCCTGGGGGTGTGCTAGTGCGTGATTTAGTGGGAACTTGGGACTTGCGGCTTTCCATCTATACCGCTAAGCCAGACGTCGACGTATTGGCCATAGATGATTGCGCGGGAATTTTTCATGCTGCTTTTGTAAATAGGAGGATACGCACAGCTAGAGAATGAAATGTATGGATTAAATTCTTCCCATTTTTGTTCAAATTCATGCAATAGGGCGAGTATAGAGAAAGAATAAGCAGAAGATGAATTGACGTTGGTAATAAGATCATATGTCTTACATGTAATTATGGTTGTGTTAGGGTCGAAACCCTAGCCCATTGTTGTCACCATTCTTGGCATCATTTCCCCATCTCTCAGTGTTGCTATGAATTTGCATAGGCTCAACCTCTGGAATTTGACAAAAGATAAAAAGGCTCTAGAGAGTAAATTAGCATGCCCTTCTGCAAGGATGACACACACAAATTGACAAAGCATTTGAAAATAAAAAATCATAAATCAGAATTTTAATCTTTATTTTCTTATTGTGATTGGATAATAGAGAGTATATTAGCATGCCCTTATGCAAGGATTACATACACAAAATGACAAATGGTCCATATTTTTTTAGTAATTTTTCCATGCATTTCTACTGCATCTTGGGTTTCAACCTGCAGATTCGAATATTTGATTCCATTTAATAGCATACTAATTTAAAAAAACAAAACTATTTGTGATTAGAAATCATGAAATACCTAACAGACCAAAAATAGATTGTTTAATTGATGAAATTAACATGAAATTTATATGGAGATGTATAAGAGCAGATGGATTGAGACCTTAATTATGAAAAAATGTACGAAGAAATTCATGAAATTCGGATGTACTTTAGCCGCTGCATCAAAGTTGAGGAAGATGATGAACAGAACTCTCGCAATGACAACCTCCACCTTCTCCTTCTTTCTCCAGTTGCTCCCTTCTCTCGGTTTTCTCTGCTTCCTTCCGATCGATTCCGTCCATTGCCATTTGCAATCTTCTCGGTCCTCTCTACACCAGATTTATTCTTACCCTAGGATGGGCCTTAGTGGGTGGTTAGGACTTCTGCGGTTTTTTAATACAAACCAGAACCGACGTCGTCTTAGTATAGCACAACTGAGAGGGAAACTTTTCCTGCTGCTGTTGTAAATAGGAGGATTCATAATTTATTTATGGCAGTTGAAAAAGTGCAAGAGCATTAACTAATTTTTTCAATACAACCGAAATGGCCCGTGGCCCATATATATGTGGTGTAATTTATTAAAATTAAATTGGCCCATTATTGTGTGATTAGGCCCAAAACTATGGGCGGGAAAAATTCCTGCTGCCTTTGTATATAGGTAGATCTTATATTCCCCTCCAAAAGTTCTTTCCTTTCAATTTTCTTATAATTTCCTCCGTGTTCCAGGAAACCCCTTCTCATTCCTCGTGAATTTAATTTGACTATTAAACATGTCCAATCGTCCATAGAACTAATGATGGAAGGATCAAAATTACTCAACGTGTGACATAACCTTACGCGAGAATCGAAATAATATCAGCCCGCATATCAGATAGGAACTTCAACCCTCCGGGATGCGTATTGAGGCGCTCAAAGAGAACTTCATTCATTGGCTTCAAAGCATGCCTCAGATTCCGCTCTATCCTGTAGAAAGCAGAAAGTGACCCTTCCTCTTCATTCCCACTGTTTTCAGCCTTATCTGCCAAAGCTCCATGATTTTAGATTCAAACTACAAAACAATAAGTACTTAAGCCAACAATGTCTAAGTCAATAATTGTTGAACACACCACTTGGAAGCTGAAGACCAAGATATTGTTTCATCAGCTTGCAAACTTGAGCCCGTTGGAGATCATAATCTTGGCCAAGTGCAAGAAATAATTTCCGACGACTTTCATGGGAAAGACAAACATAACCCTAGATCAATAGCAAGTAAAAAAAACTTAATAACATCTCAAAACCCAAACTTTTGGAAGCAAATAAGTTTACAGTGGGTAAAAAAACTCATGTAGTAAAAAAAAAGTTGTTATTGGAATCCACCTCAGAAAACTCATCTAGAGCAGCATCTAAAATTTCTGCCTTGTTAATCATTGATATTGCAGAGTCCATCCAATCCCTTACTTGAGTAAAGTCCCTGACACCACTACATGATCTAGCATCAACCTATTCCTAGAAATATCTAAACATAAATTACATGATTATTCTCAAACATAATTTGATGATTCCCCTTTTTAACACACAAACAGGAAAGTGGTTAAAGTTTGAGGGAAAAGAACCCACCTTTCGGAATCGGAGGGTGTAGAGGGAGGAGAAATTGGGGCGCTTTCCCGGGGAGAGGTCTTCATTTTGTGAAATGTGTTCTGTTGCGCATCCAATCACAGGGGAAAATGAGGCAAAATCCAAAGGAATTGGAGAAGTTCAAAAAATATGAAGATGATCCCGCAGAGTTGCACCGAGTTAGAAAACAGCAGAGACGAAAAAGGAATGGTATATGGATAGAAATATACATACCGGAGAAGGTGGTGATATGGAGGGACGCACTTTGGTCCGCATGAGAACTTCGAGACCTCTCTTGTTCATCTTTCCGCACCAAGACGCCGACTTTTCAGCTACTGTTCAGCTCCTTGATCCCTATTTCTAAATTTTGATCTTCATTTTTCTTAGTATTTTTAATTTTTCTTTGCTACAACATTTTTAAAAAGTGATATGTACCAAATAAAACATCAACATTAAAAGTTAGAATAATGATAAAGTACTTCCTCCACCTCACAAAATGTTTCTCGTTTTCACTTTTAAATGATTTAATTTGATGTCAATCTTTCAAAAATGTCATTTGATGTGATGGGTAAAAGTAAGATGTGATAGGTAGATTAATAGTGAAAAAATATGATTTGATAGACAGGTTAAGAATTGGTAAGGGTAAAAGTAAGTTTTTAATAGTAATGAAAAAAGTTTTTTTAGGACGAATGAAAAAAGAAAGGAGAAAAGTTTTGTGGGACAGAGATAATATCATATTTGCTAATGAAAATACTATATATATATATATAGGGTATATAGGGGTGAGATCAGGTGAGAAAGGTTCCTAGTGAAAGAAATAAGAATGATGGAGAGGCATTAGATGTGGTAAAATGGATGGTTGTGATTGAACCATTACTTTTTAGTAATTTTTATATTGCAAATGGTAAGTGTGAATTACCGTGCTTAAAAATAGGGGAAGGCTGCACAAAAGGGCAAATTTGTCATTCGAAAGTTCACAGGTGCCCTGCCCAAAAAGGAATCCCGCTGCGTATTCCTTGTTTGGTGCGTGCTACTTTCGAGTAGAAATCGCAGAGGCAAATTGCATACCTCCATTAAACGGGCTCTTGGAGTAGTCTTCTGCAATTTGGAGTCTATTGGGTATGGCAACTGAGAAGAGTGCAACGACGGAGAAAGAGGGGGCGGATACCAATTTCATGCCACTACATCTACAGATGAAACAGATAATGCTTTACACTCAATTTGTTGTGAATTTGAATTTTTGGGGGGTTTGTAAATTGATTAAGTGATTGCATGTGTTGGAGTAGGGTTTTAGGTGTGTGTAGTATCTTCGTTGGGGAACATGTTGCACCAAAGTTGAGTTTTTTGCTGTTAATTTTGTAATACGGAGTAGGGGATGCTTAAAAGTGGTGGATTAGTAGTGGGTGTTTAATTTTGTGTTTTTGTTTGCATTTTGAGAATTTGCCCTCTTCATGCTCTCGATGTTTTACATGATGCATATGAAGAGTTTTGTGTTGCTTTATTTCGATGTTTGTTTGGTGAAGTTGTGGGTAGTGATGGTCTTGGAATTAAAATGCATTAATTTCATTTGGTCATGAAATTGTTTTGGGTGGGTTTATGCATGATTGTCTTAATTTTTGATAGTTATTGTAAATTGCTTGTATGGAATGTTTTGTTGCACCATAATGGATCTTTGGTGTACTACGTATTCAATTTCTAATCTAAATTGTGAGACATCAATTGATTAGACGCATGAATCAATCTGTTAATTAAATGCATGGTGTGTGTTTAGACAAGCATTACAAAGTTTAAATTGGGCAGGCAATATATGTGTTCTAGATTGCATCTTTCATTTGAGATGTGTGGTTGTTACTCTCCTACTTGTTGAAGTTTTTATTTTTGGGCAGTTTGTAACAAAAAGTAATGGGATTGATTTTTGTAAGATGCAATAGTTGGTTCTATATAAGCAGGGTAGTGCATTGTGCATGACAGGTTTTTTTTGTGAGATTTATGGAGCAAAATTTGTCCTGCGATGAAGAAACAAAGAGAATTGTTTCGCAGATGAAGAAACGGAAGCCAAAAAGTGTGGGAGTCCTGCGCAAATTTTAAGGAGATATAATAGGAAAATAATAGGAAAGGTACGACTAAGAAGCAAAAATCCCAAAATGCCCTGTATATAAATCATAAGAACCATCTAGATGGATCAAGATCTAATGGCTATAAAGCATTCTTATTTCTTTCATTAGATCTCTTTCTCACCGGAACCAAACTCTATATATATATATATATATATTTGAAAATTAACATGTCAGACTCTTATTTAAATTAGAACATTTTGAAAAATTAAGGTATATAACATTTTTGTGTGATGTTATAAAAGACTACCAAAAACATCTAAAACTAAAACTTACAACCCGACTTTTACTCACTTAATAAATCATAATATTGGTGGAATTATATTAAGAGCATCAACCACTTCGTTGCAATCTATTTCCACAAAGATATGCCTCCAATCTTCGTCATTGATAAAGGTTCAAGCCTCATTTACATAAATTACCTCCACTTCTCTAGGTCTGAAACATCCTCTACCATTAAAGCCCCTTGATAATTTCAAGCAATAAAATGAACCCCAACACTCTATCAGCCAACCTCGTTGAAGCATCCACATCAATCTTGACGTAGCCATTATACAACCATCATTGATGGGCAAAAAAAACGATTCTCCCCATATTAGTTTAGATTATCGAATAAAATTAATTCATAATATTATTCTCCTTCCTCATATTGATTAAAAAAATATTATTTTTCTTTCCACAGTTTAATTAAAAAAAATATTGGTGATTCTATTATTCTCCTTGCATTACTTATGATTCAAAAAATATGATTCTTCTATCCTGTGTCACTGCTTTAATTTTGAATAGCAAAATAAATATTATTCATCTCTCACAACGTATTATCATGATTTTCCTCTCTCGCATTGATTAAAAAATATTGAAATGATTCTTCTCTCCCCGCATTTTTGAATAGCAAAATAAATATTATTCATCTCTCACAACGTATTATCATGATTTTCCTCTCTCGCATTGATTAAAAAATATCGAAATGATTCTTCTCTCCCCGCATAAGTCAAAAAATAAAATCTTAGATTAGCAATCCTATAAGTCAAAAAAATAAAAAAAATAATTAAAAATCCAATGATTCTATTCATTAGCATTAATTAAAAAAATAATAGAAAAAAACATTACTGATTCTATGATTTTGAGTAGAAATTTTCAAAAAAAATTATAGTTTTTTTGTGTTTTTTCTTTTTATTTGACTACAAAATTACTCCTTTTTTAATTTATTTGATTTAAATATTTGATCATTTTGAAAATAGGCTAGTCATTTATAGTAGTTTAATGCAGAGATCAATTTTTTTAATTTTATTTTATATCAATATTTAAAAAAATAAAATCAAAACTAAATTCATTAAGTGTGTTCATAAAAATATCATTTTTTAAAGGTTATGAAAGTGTCTATTTTAAAGGAAGGAAATCTCATTTATTCATTGATAGTTTTATTATAAATGTTGTGAAAAAATATAAAATTTTAAAAAAAGTATTCCAATGAAAGTGATGATCTATTTTTCATAATTAAATTTGCCACCCAGAACAAGGTCTGGAGGCGGTCAAGGTCAGGCTGCACGTCCGTTTACTGGCAGCAGATGAGGGTGAATCCCGCCAGGTAGTGGTGAGTTCAGCACCAATATATATATTATATTCATGTACCTATAATTTAGATATGCTTTTTTTAGAAAGACATCAACCAATGAGCTATTACGTTTGTCAGAATTTGAGTTAAATTTGGTTTGAACTTGATCAATATTGAGCCTTATTTGTTCCGGGTTTAATCGATTCGGGTCTAACCAATTCGGGTACAATTAAATCTGAACCTGAATACATTCGGTTTGGTTTCGGTTTAGTTTGAATCATTCTGGGTGTTTGGATTTAATTTGGTTATGCAGTTTTCAAGTCATTTGGAACCCTCCAAATTATCGGGTCCTAAACCAATTCTCATATTTGAGAGGGATGGGCCCGGGCCAAAGAGAGATTTGGGTGGTTTCATTTGAATGGGAGTTGGAGACTTGGGCCGATTCTCCTTGTTATACATGTGTGTGTGTGTGTATATATATATATATACACACACGGGGGCAAGGTTAGGGTTTCAATACAACTCCGATCATCCCAAGTTTTTAAGGCTACATCTGCGGCTCTCGCACTCTCTCTCTCTCTCTCTCTCTCTCTCTCTCTCTCTCACATCCGTGTTCGAGACACCGGCCGGAACCGGTAGTCGCTGCGCCTTGCCGGTGAGGTAATTACTAAACTTTTCGTTTGATTTGTGTGGTTTCGGTCAGAGTAAGTCGCAACTTGAGGATGATGATGTTGATGATTATCGGTTGGTTATGACGTGTGCTTTGTAATGTTGAAATTAGGGATGATAGTGTTAAAATTGTTATGATGATCGTCGGTAACGGCTCGAATTTCCTTTATGATCTGCTTTGATGATGACGATGATTGGATATTTGGCTGTAGATGTTGCGTGGTGTATTGGTTTGTTGATATAGATATTACTATCTGATTGTTGCTACACTTTTGAGTTAACACATCTCAATTTTTTAGCCTTTTAGAAAAATAAACAAAACAAAATGAATCCTCTCAAACCAATCTGAAGTGTTTGCGTTTTGTTTGCCTCTGCAAAGTGGATAGAGTGTTAATGATAAATAAAATGAGTAATATTTCCAATGCATTTTTTGGATGGGGAATCTGTTAAATTTGTGATAGTTATGAGCTTTTGTTTGGTTCTAGATCCACCGAAAATGAAAGAATCTGGCACTAGTCATCAGACTGAGAAACTGAAGGCAAGCCCTTCCCAAGAGCTGATCGTGAAAGATAAAGGAAAAAAGGGGAACATGTTTTTAGGCACACTGCTGAGATAAATTTACATAAAAAATGAACTGAGAAAGGCTGCTTTTCAAAATGCGCAAACCTCAGATGCTCCTGACCAATCCAGTGCCAATGGACTCAATCCTGATATGCATCCTCAGGATTAGAAAAAACTTCTTATTCCAGAGTGTCTTACTGGTATTAGGATGGTCTTCATCCAAGACTTCAGTTTTATATTTGGAACGCTTCTAAGCTGTTGTCTTACTTTTTAGTTTATTGTATAAATAAATGGGGTGATTTTAACACTACCTCTTGACCAATTTCAATCCAACTCTGCGCTTGTGGAATTCTTTTGTTTAATGTTTTGATGCTCCTCTACACATGGTTTAAATATGAAACCATCTTCCTTGTGAAGACCCTAATGCATTTTGCTTGTACCAAAACAAATGAGATTTAATTGCTTTTACTTAATGTATCATTTTATCTGTTACCCTCTCTTTAGACTAGAAGAGAAATAATATTACGAAAGAAAACAAAATGAAAGAAAATTATGAAAATAGAAAGAAGAAAAAGAGATAAAAATAATGTCTTCCTCTTCTTTTTCTTTCTCCTTCTTCCTTTTGTTGGTGCGCTGTTGTTGCTCTGTGCTTCGTAACTAAAATAACGTACCGCAATAAAAATATACTCTCCAGCCAACTCACTTTGAATTTAGATTCGTTCACACCGTTGGATCTCGATCGCCGAATCCTGGTATGATTCTTATGTTTTATCAACGAATATTTAAAATAAACTCCTTCGTCTCAATAATTATTTATCTTTAATTAATTAATTAATTTTGCTACGTCGCGATTCAGGGCGTTACATTTCCTTTCAATTTTCTTTTAAAACAAATGAATACCCAGAGATTTGCCTCTTGGTCCTTCTTCGACCCTGTAGTTATTTCCTTGTCAAATTCGCCCTTCATGGCCATCTCCTTGAGCACGGCCTTTGCGTTTTGATAATCGACCGTGTTGTGAGAATGTGACTAATGGTAGGGGCACCACTTCTCCGTCCAGGGCCTCTTTGGTTGTTCCTCCTTCCTCTCATCCCAGATCTGGTGCACCGTCCCATCGTAGGTGGCCTTCGATCTCGATGCCCTCACCTGGTCTTCTTTCTTGACTTGGGTGGATTTGTTTTTGGCATATCCTTCCTCCAACGCTCGCTTGCTCCAATTCAGATTCTCGACCTCTCCATATTCCCACGTGGCATTGTAAGAGTATACAGAGTATTTTATACCATGGGTAAAGGATGGCTACGCGACATAGAGAACTTTCCATGATTGGCGAGGTCATTGGTAGCAGTTACAGGGAAGACCGGGTGATGGTGAGAAACGAAGAATAGGGTTTGCGCCATTTGTGCCTTAGCTATAGTATTTCATATGGACTGGACTATGTTGACAAGTTTTGGGGTGGACACCTAAATTGGATTGAATGCTAACGTATGAACTAGGGTTTGGACTAGGATTTTTTGGTCGATTGTTACTATTCAAGTCCATAGCCGACAACCGACCGATTAAAAAAATTGACTTCTCTTAGAGCATTAGCAATGGCATTCCATCACTATGCCACGCCCTGCCACATCAGCATGTGGATGCATGTTGCCATGCGTGTCTCCCCTCAAACCGAGTAGCCCGCGAGGCAAAATGGCCACTGATGAGTATTTTTGTTTTCTTTTTATTTTTCCTTTTTTCATATGGATAAGGAAATCTGTGGCCAATGGCCATCAACACATCTAAGTATCTAACACATCTGTACTTCTATACTCCATATTTATTTTCTTATTTTTCTTTTGTATTTCTTTGTTCATTTTCTTTGGGGTTTTACGAGAAGACATCTCTAATTTTTTGAAATCATTTTATTTACAAATTGGTATATCGATAAGAAATACAAATTAGAAATTAAATAACTAAGTCAAAAGTTCTACAAAACAAAAGGTGACAAGAATATTTTATTTTATCAAGTGCCTAATGAAATTACGTAAACAAACAAAAATTATCGAGAAGAGAGAAAAAAAATGTAATCTATTTAGGAACGCAGGGAGTATTTTTTCTTTGTTACTCCGTATGTTAAGATAAAAATAAAATAGGAGTCACTTTAATAATTAAAATTCTCAAAAAAAATATGAAAGTTACAAAAAATAATGACTTGCCACTGTAAGGTGTGCCACTCCACTCACTTGCCACTCTGTGACTAGACTGTTTTTTATTGGTTGAAAAATGACATGTCAGCGTGTGTCATATCATTTTTTACTTGCTATGGCTTGTGCTCTTATAATTATTTTTGAAAAAGAGCAATATTACTTGATGAATTAAAATGATATAGTATGACATATTATTATTGTACTACATATATTTTACTTAAAATTTAAAACCCTAAACTGATTATTTTTTACAATAATATATTACTACTTCTATAAGAGAAAAAAATGATTATGTGCCCCTAATGAAATGGGCCCTAGGGGGCAGCCCCCTATGCCTACCCCCAGGGTCGTCCCTAAGAATATGCACAACCTCAACAAAGATATGGGCCTACACCCTTAAGGCCCGTAAGGATGAGCTCGGCCATACAGTACCCTCGGCTTAGTTAGGCCCCTCGGCCTGACTAAGACGATGTTGAGCCCTGTCTTGAAACCGCATGTCCAATCTCGACGACTATCAAGCCCGCCCTACAGCTCTTCTCGGCGTCTCAAGCCTGTGCAAAGTCAACCCCTACTCCCCTAGGGAACCACGAGCGCCAGTAACCAGAGCAGAGGGCGTCATGAGAAGGCCACCCATCGCTAGGTGCGGTCAAAGGTAGTTAAGGAGAACAATGATGTATCAGAGGAATGAGACAAATGTAATTAAGAGGCCCATGGGCCTTGACTAGGGAAAAACAAGCATCCGCCCAAAATCGGGTGTATAGATAGATGTTTATACGCACTTTGGGAGAAGCCGAAGAAGAAAGCATCATTTATCCTGCCTATTTTCGGTCAAGCAGAGGCTGGATGAGGATCTCAAGACAATTCATAAGGCGATGGGGAGTGGAGACTACAAAGGTGACTATGGCGGACGACCAGACCAAATTAACCACATTGCACGCATCCGTGGGGGCAGGTGACTTCTCGAAGTCACTAGTCTAACTGCCCCCGAAGGATCACGTCGAAGCAATCTGGAGAGTGGAGCTATTTGGCGATGCCAAGCATCTGGAATCTTTAAAGCAGAAGGATGAACGCCGACGTTTACAAGGCGTCACATAATTACCCAATGCGGCAGGTCGACCTATAGCGTTACGCTCGGCAGTTGCCAAAACCCATACGATTTTGTCCTTGGTAGTTGACTGGGGGCACAAGCCCACCAACGAGAGACACGCCAGCCGCGAGTGATGTAGAAGCAAGCCGAGCGCAACAAGAATCTTTGCACCGAGACCGCTGCAGATAGATCCACCTGAAGGGTTAACCCCCATGACCCATCATGTAAGCGCGATCCTGGCATATGCCAAGGAGCGCGACGTAATCCGATGTATAGGCATTTCGAATATGTGAACGACGTCTGGGAGAGACTATATTGTCGGTTCCAGGGATAGAGAGGAGTGAAAGATTATAATTACTCATATTCTAAGGATACAATATCAACAAGACTTTATAATTCTACTACATTGCAATTTAATTTCAGATAGTAAAATACATGCATGGGAAAAGAAGCAAACTACTAATAAGAAAAATGAAAGATTGAACATACCTCAATGTAGGCAACGTACGCATTAGGTGAAGCAAAGACCATCTTCAGGTTGTCGTCCCACCCAAAGTCAGAATCTTTTCTATAAAGTTTTGTTATTATTCCTCGTGTATCTTTCATCATCCTCAAGTGATGGTCAATGTGCTCAGGCAAGCATGTGACTTTAAACTTCTTTGATATGCGATCTACCTCAAAGGATGTAGATTTGAAAATGTCGTTTGGCCAATTTCCAATTTTAACTTCACCGACCAAAATGTCAGCAACTCCTTTGACATTACCCTCAGCCATCGAAATAGAGTTTTCTTCTCATCATTGACTACCTTCTTCCTCTTTATATGTTCTAAAATATGTCTTATTCAATCAATACAAAAAAATATCATTCATCACCATATTAAGCATTTTATCATTCAACACATAACACTTCTTATTTATTCAACACATAATGCATCAAATTGAAATGACAAAGTAAATTCAAAATTTAAACAAATCATGGAATCTATTTTATGTCATTGGTCAACACTAAAAAATATTAAAAGCTTTATGGAAAAACACAAAATAAAAATCGATTCAAAATTTAGCATTGTCCTTGATTGTCTTCCTACATTGCATTCGTTATGGCATCCCTCTTTGTATTTTTTAAAATTTGTTTTCTTCTCTTGGTGTGAGACATGGTCCCCGTGATTCATTTAAGATAGCATATTTGCATGATCCACTTCTGTCATAAGAATATCATCTGGACGAACACCCCTAAGAAAGTTGTGCAGTGCACAACATACAAGCACTACATATACTCGAGTCTTAATGACCCAGAATGGTTCCACATCTAGCATACAGAATCACTTTTTCAACACACCAAATGCATGTTCTACACTCATTCTCAAAGAAGAATGGCATGTGTTAAACAATTCCTTAGCATTTGTTGGAGGAGGTAAGTCCACATCAAACTTTTTCAAATGATATGAACTTTCTTGTAAGGAGGTAAAAAGTCTTTCCGAAGAGTATAACCTGAATTTAGCAAGAAGTATTTCCCTGCAAAAGATCAAATATTAAGAAAATTTATCAAGTGATACCCAACTCACATCTAAAGGTGATACTTTCAGGAGCATAAAATCCTCTTGAAACTACACCATTTAATACCCTAAAATTATGTGTCAATTCTTCCCATCCAGCTAGCATGTACGTAAATTTTAGGCCATCAAGAGATATAATAGCCAACACATTTTGAGATAATAAACCTTTTCTATTTTTATACCTATCTTGATCTTCAATAAGTACTGATGCACGAACATGAGTGCCATCTAGAGCCCCTATACAATCTTCAAACCAAGGATAAAATCATAAATTATTTTTAACTTTTAAAGGGATAGAGGAGGTAAGAGGTTTAATGAACTCCGAATACAATTTTAGGATGACTTTAAGAACAATGTGAAAGTAAATACGATGTATCCAAGTAGAACGAAAACACCTTCCTCCCATTTCCCTAAACCTCACCTTATAACCTAATAAATGTAGAAACATCGCTAATTGCTCTCTAACACCCAAATGTGTGGTATTTGTAGGAAGATTCCTCACATAATCTAAAAAAGGCTATTCTTACAAATACCACAAATATGCGTGTTAGATGAATGGGTGGTTTCTTATCTAAAAAAAAGGCTTTTCTTAGCTTTTTATTAAGTTCTTTCTGTTCTTGAAATTAATGTTGGCTTTCTATTGATCAGAATAAATAAGTTGTATGATTTTTCTCATTTCAGTTTTTATAAGTGAACCGAGCTGTTATTCTTAATAATTATAGAATATTTTCAAATCAAATGAAACCAACAAAAGATTTGGGAGGAAAACTAATTTGAAAAAGTGTTCTCATTGCTCTAAAAGAATCGGAGATAGAAAATGTTTGATCTTTAAGATAGTCACCTTGGACACACTAGAGATCGAGGTTGTAGCAACAGTTGGGCCGCTAAAGATAAAGGGCCTGTTTGGGAATAGCGTTAGCCATTAGCATTAGCGTTTTGAAAAGGCTATCTACGGGCAGCGTTTAGCGTTAGTGTTTTCAAAGTAATCTGCACCGTTAAGATTTTATCCAAAACGCTAACGATATTCCCAAACAGGCCCTAAGACTAAAGCGGTGGATCAAACCTTCCTGGCAAAGATCTAGCGTCGGGAGTTATCTATTTGTGCCAGTCTAGAGAGAGGAGTAATATGTTGGTGAAAGGAGGAAGGAGTTATGGAAATCATTTTTCGCTGATTTGAGAAATCGCTTTCCGCCTAGAGAAGGAAAACACTTTTCTTAGAAAATAATCTTCTGCTACGTACCAAACACCGAAAAATGGAATAAAAATTTTCTGAGAAAAGACTTTACGCCCAACCAAACACACCAATAGTTTCAATGTTGTCACCAGAAATTTTTATTTGTGCAGGCACATTTTAATTCATCTGTTTTTAATCCCCAGTTATCCAGTTTTCTTCAGTTGCCTATTTAAAATATAGGGTAGTAATTTTTCCTTTGTGTGCAGCATTATAGATCAAAGGCATTTCGTACACCAAAAACAACTCCACAATCAAAGTAAACAATTTAAGACGTGTTTTGTCACCGGGAAAAAAAAAGGAATACGAGTATAAAAGTAGCATGGAAAAATCCCTCTAGAAGTTCTCATGGTGAGCCGATCTAAAGATGGATAATTTGGTCAAGCAAACAAATTCAAATGGTTTTACATTGCTCAAAACTTAAACAAATCTCAGGATATGAATATCTTATGGCCACCACCGGCTGAAGAGCCTTCAGGAAAAAAGAAGTCCAGGATCAAATGAAGAAAGAAGAAGATGCACAGATACCCGATTTCAAGAAAGGAAAATCTAGGCTTGGCCACCACTCTGGGCAGAACCCGCCTCGGTTTCCATTGGTTCGGTCTCCAAAGGTGCTTCTCCTCCAGCACCACCCTCAGCTGCCGAATTGGCACTGTCATTTGGGTTTGAGGGGGTCTTGTCTCCCTGTCCTTGATGATGGTTTTCACCATCTTGAGAAGTCTGTGGTGATTGTGGTTCGGTTGTGGTAGTTGTTGGCTTGGCTGGCTTTGGCTTTGTCATTATAGGCCTGCAAGACCTGTGGAGATGGATATAGCAGAGGGGAAAATAAGTGAATGCATTATAATTCTATATAAAAACACACAATGTTTAGGGTCTGCTTAGCCTGTTGAATTTTCAAAAATGAAGTGTTTGATAAATATACATTTCAGCTAATTGTGTGACAAGAAGAATAAACATGAGAGAATTAAAAAAAAACTTCCCAGAGGCTGACAAGTTGGATCATTAAATCATTGTATAAAAATGTTAAGTAGATGTATAAGGGGGGGTACCTGTCAAGGGCTTCAGCCTTCTTTCTGATGTCAGCAGACAAGAGAACAGGGGTCGCATACTTTGGAAGCCCATCTTGTTGCTGTGTTTTCTCTCTCAGCCAAGCCTCGGCTTCAACACACTCAGTCAGGACCTGTTTAAGAGTGAAGGTGATGACCAATAAATGCTTGGCACCAATTACAGGTAAACAAAATGAAGAATAAAAGAATGCAGCATTTTTTGCAACTCACCTTCTGCTTATCTGCTAATTCAATGTGCTCAAACTTTGGATCGTTTGATATTGCAGCATCTCTGTAACTATTGATGCAGTGAACTAGATGACCAACAATGGTTCCCCTCTCGGTGAACTCCTTGTAACGCTCTTCAATGGGATCACCTTGCTGCAACACACAAAAACGTTGGTAAAATTGTCAAGAGAAAAAAAAAAGTGATATAAAGAAAAGAACGGCCAGGGAAGAGAAGTATTCATGGTCAAACCTTTTTAAGTTCCTCAAGTTTGGCATTGTAAACACCTTTTGTTTCATCCTCTCCATCTTCATATAACCAATCTTCCACCTCTTGAAGTTTAGCAACAAACTCCTCTTTTTCTGAATCAACCACGAACTCTTGATACTTGTCAGAGAGCTGGAGAGATTAAGATGGGTTAGACACACATAAAATGAGTACATATATATATCAAAGTTTTATAGAGAACATGTTCCTCCTTTGTTGAAAACAATTGGGGTGAAGTGCACACATATTAAAGATTCTACAAAGAACAAACATTATAAGGAACATCAGTAAAAACAAGGAATATCAGTAAAAATATACCTTGAATTTCTCTATAAGGATAATTATTTAACGAAATTGATTTGAAAGAAGAATAAATCAATGGAGGAGTTAATAGGGAATCTACAAAAAATGAAATCAAATAATAATACCTTGTTCCTCATGTCATACACATATGCCTCTACAGCATTCTTCTTGTCCTTTGTTTCTTCCATAATACGATCCTGCAATGCCATTTCAAACTCTTTTTCCGTGGCCTTCTGAACATCAGCTGTTGACAGTGCTCCATAAACCACTCCGGACACTGGAACATTTGATTTCTTGACCTTTTTCTTGGAGACCTCAGCCTAAAAGGGGAAGGAATGAATCATTGATAAAAACTTCACTGAGGATTTACCAACCTGAGGCAACCAATTAAGAAATAGTAAAGGTAGAAAGGTGTTCCCACACAAATACTTGAGAAACTACAACAGACCTTAGAATCTGTCTCCATTTGTACAGGGTTGTCTCCAGACTCAGGGGCATGATTCTCAGAAGCAGGAGAATCCGAAGTGCCTTTAGCATCTTGCATGTTCACATCAGTTCCAGAGGAATCTGTGTGATGCACATCAGTTTCCATTTTGGTTGATTCCTTTTCTTGTTCTTTCACAGCAGGGACTTCCACTTCGTCTTCTTCCAGAAGCTAAAGAAATAAAACCAAACAATCACTCATATTACATGGATGTAAATGTAAATAGCATTTTCCAACATCCATAAAGAAAATAACTTCATCACTTACCGTTGCTGACTCGACAGAAACAATACCATGCAGATTAAGGCGTGCTCTAACCTTGACTTTTGCACGTTCACTGTTTACAGCTTGGAAAGGACCAATCTAACCATAAAAGAAACATCGGCTCATGAGCATGAACTTCAATTCAAATTTTATGCATTCAATTTCATATTGCACAGATCAGGGAAACAACTCAATACCATATAAGAACTTATTTTTGGTGGAGCCAGTACTTCAGTGACATCGGCATATTGTACATCTACTGAAAATGTACTAGTTCTAATGAATGTCAAAGCCTTTGTACTTGGAATTGGATTTCCCTTTGGGAAAACAAGGGTGCTCTGCTGGTTTTCTGCTCCCGTTAGGGCATCTGGAGCAGGACCTTTCCATGACATAGAAATGGAAAAGGGGAAGCTCTCATTGACCTTCAGCCAACAAGATAGAAAACTTTAATAAACTTGAATACTTCAAAATGTTATATGATGTAACCCCTACAGAATGTTATAGATTGTAAACCATCTGAACAGGGAAATAAGTGACAAAATATACCTGAAAGTCTCTCACTTTAAAAGTGGGACTAAGGATCGCACACTGTAGAGCACAACCCTTAGCAACACACTCACTTGCATTCATTGTACGTCTAGGCTCCTTGCCAAAGAACTCAGTCAAAATCTTAATGATCGCAGGGACTCGTGATCCAGAACCAACAACCTCAATAGCATGGAAGTTATCAACAGTAAGTCCAGCTTCTGCAAGAGCCTTTTCCAATGGCTTCTTCACTCTTTCCAATATCGGCATACTAATCTGCTCAAACTCATCTCTTTTAAGGAATCCCCTAACATCCTTTTCATCCATCAAGCATTCAATATTCAGAGGTGCCTCAGGATTAGCACTAAGAACTTTCTTCAGCTTCTCACAAGCAGCACGCAGCCTGAGACAAGCTCTGGCATTCTGAAATACATCAATCTTATATTCATCCTTAAACTTTGCAGCAAAATACTGGAAAATGACTTCATCAAAATCCCTTCCACCTAGTGATCTATCAAATGAATGTGCTAATATCTTCAACTGGCCTTTCTTGAAGGCAGCAATGCAAACTTGCATGCTGGCATGCCCAATATCAACAAAAGCAACATTTAATGGATCAGTTTCGGGTAAATCAGTCTTATAGATACCATAAGCCAAAGCAGTGGCTGTAGTTTCATGGAAAAGACGTAGAGGATGCAGACCAGCAATTGTAGCGGCATCCATAACAGCTCTTCTCTGCAGATCGGTAAAATATATGGGTATACCAATGCAACAATCCACTACTGCTGCATTGAGATTCTTCTCAGCAATACCCTTCAGGTTTGAAAACACCATCCCAAGAACCTGTGTAGGTGTGAATGTCTTCATTTCCCCCAAATACCGGGCATGGATCAATGGGTATCCATCAGGGCCTTCGGTCACAGAAAAAGGCAAAGACTTGAGGTCTTTTTGCAGCTCCGGATCCGAAAATTGGCGCCCAATCAATCTCTTTACCTGAGAAATGGTGTTCTTTGGGTTCATCATACTGGATGCAGCACCAGCTGTACCAAGGAATCGTTGCTTATCACCAAAGCAAACAATCGCTGGAGTTTCCCTCTTGGATTCTTCATTAAGTACTACATCGATTCCCCTCTGTCTTGCAACAGCAACAACACCACTTTCATTCCCTAAATCAAACCCTACCACGCTCATCTTTGTAGGACACAATTGATTGCAAAGTCCAACAGAAGGGAAAACCTGAAAGGCCATGAAACATATATTCAACAATTACAACCAAATCAAGGACTCCAAATTCACTTCAAGTGTGACATCTAAGTGAAAACTGATGCATTTTGGCATCAAGCGATTGGATGTTTAACTAATGCTCAAAGAACAGTAACGGGTATGTCATTGTACGCTTGAATTGAGCCAAATCAGATGCAACCACTATGGGTCGAGCATTGATTTGTAAGATCAAAAACATTGACTTAAAATTCCTGTCTTGCACAAGCATAGAGATACAATCCCCATAACAATCGAGGCCTAACTAATACCAAAAGCAGATTTTGCACTCAAAAAGCAGAAAACTACGGGCATAGGTCAAATCAACAAACAATGCAAGCACGAATCACAAGAATACGAATATCATCCAAGCATCACAACACGAGGACTCAATCGGAACATCAAAAACAATCAAAATACAGCGTCAGCAGAGCTTCAAAACACGCCATGAACGAAATCGAAATAAGAAATCCACAGATCTGAGAAATCAGTGAGCGCGGAGCTCTCAAATCAGATTCATACGTACCGGAAGGACGAAGGCGCCGGAAGGACAGTGCGAGAAAAGGCGCGGTCCGGCGAATTCTAGAGCTCTCTCTCCCAAACAACGGCGGAATTCAGCCTAGAGACAGAAAAGCATCAGTGTGATACGGAAGGGGGAAGAAGGGGGGTTTTAAATGAAGGCAGTAAGGGAAAGTGGGGTTTGTGTAGAATTTTCGGTTTTAAGAATTAAAAGAAAAATGGATTTTTCTACGGGGGCCGATGTTTTCCGTCGTTCTTCCGGTGTCGCGCTCGAGATGCTTCTAGAATTATATCTTTGGGTCCAAGTTCGGATTGGGCTGTGTTTTTGGACACTGCAACTGCGAGCTTATTTCCGTCCAAAATCCAAATCCAAGCCCAATTTCGCAACCAAAAAATAATGCCTTTTTTATTGGCTTTTTAACTTGGGAGAAACCCAACTTTGAATTTTGTAAAAAAAAGGACCATGCTACACTTACACCAACAAATATACCTCATTTGTACACCACAGGTTTGCACAAACATTTCAATGGTTTACACCGACACAAGTGTTGGTGCGTTAATAAAAATTCACACGGACACAAATGTCGGTGCGTTTAACAAAAATTAGTTTTACACCAACACAAATTGTTGGTGCAAAACTGCGGGGTACAAATTGGGTTACAAATCTTGGGGTACACATAGCATAATCCAAAAAAAAAATGCACTTCATCTTTAACTTGTAACAAAAAAGTATCTTTTGACTAAGTTTTAAAAATCTAGCTGGTGAGTCCGCGAGTGCATAGGTGGCCTTCCACTTGTTTTTATAGTGTACATGTGGCATTCTATATCACTTCCAAATTAACTTATAACTTATATTATACGTGATGGAAAAATCTATGGTTGACATAAGGTTCACCATGGACCTCCATATAAGCAAAATAAGCATTTCTTTAGTACATAAATAAGCATTTGGATTTTAAATAAAAAAAGATTTTTTATGTGAGAAGGTCCACAAAAATGATATACATCCAAGATGCACCAAATAAGCACTCATACGTGATTAACTTTGTACTAGACATATATAAAGTCAAGTTTCAATTTTTTAAAAAAATTATATTTTATTTATACAATATCAGTTTTTTCTTTTTATGTTGGTAGATTTCAGATTTTATTTTTTTATTTTAACCCTATGCTTTCTAGAAGTTTTTTTTAACTTTAGCATTTTGAAACTTTTTTTTAATTTACAAAATTTTTTAAACCAAACTTGCAATTACTTTTAAAATATTTGTCTATATTGTAATTTAAAGGGCAGAATTTCTTATTTATTTAAATTTTAAAATGCATACAATCTTTTGGAATTAGAATTTAAATAGATAAATTCTAGAAAATATATTTCACAAAACAAATATATGTTGAGACACTTTGAAAATATTTTCGAGCTGACTTTCTGTTATATTTGAGCTGACTCCATTCTTCTTGAGACTTGAGTGACGCCGATCATATACATTCACAACGTGAGAAAAAGAATAACACATCGTTTTTTCTTGGAACGTGCATGTGCACATAAGAGAGAGATGTGTATGCATGTCGACGTTGTCGTCTCAAGTTATTTCCTTTGAACGGTGTGATAGCTGCAAAGCAAGCTCAAATAATAAAATTTGAGTGAAAAGGCTTATTTTTATTTTAAGAATTTGTCATAATAATTGGTGTAGTATCTCTCATCATGTTATTATTAACTGGTATAACATATTCCTAAGATTTAGTAAATTCTTATTACACGGCCAGACAAATACACGTGGGCCCTATTCTTAATTTGTGAGAATTTCCTTCAACAACGTAAACGTATTATCGTGCACGTGTTTCATACTCTTACATTATTTATTGTGTGAGTGCATATGACAAACATGATTGTACAACAACATGTTGGTCAATTGTTATTTGTGACTAGTGCTATATCATCACGGTATGCTATTAGCATTTCATATTTTGTATGGTTTGTGGTCACTTTACTTCAAGTTTTTCAGTTCTGGTAGCTAACTTGTACATTTTTAAAAAATGTGGTATTGTTGTGTTAGGAATCTATTTATAACTCCTCCCCCGGCCTTATCTTTCTTTAATTTCCAGTTTAGCTTTTGTGGTCAACATCTTAAAACTTTGACAATAAATTATTAAAAAAACACATTGAATAATTATAATATAGATTTAATATCAAGATATTAATTTCAAAACGTAATTTTGAGATATCATATTTTATATTCTATATTTATTTAAAAATAGATTTAGAAATGGTCAAAGTACTACACTAGAGATTGTGAAAAGTCAAATGGAAAGAAAAATATGGGACTTAAGGAGTACTTGTTTATAGTAAACTGCTATGACTTGCGAATGATAAGTAATACTTCCTCCGTCCCAAAAACATTTTCCCCTTTATTCTTTTACTTGTTCGACAAAATTTTTCTCATTTCTATTAAAAAATTGTTTTTACCTCTACTAATTCTAAACATAATTATCACATCATACATTAATATTAATAATCTCGACATCACATCCTACTTTAATTTTACCCATCACATCAATAGTATTTTTAGAAAGTCAACAACAAAAGTATTGTTCCGTTAAATTTTATAAAAGCCATCAAAATGGGAATATCTTTTTGAAAAAGAATGTTTTAGTCTGCAATGCAAGCGCTTAATTATTCTCCTAACTATTAGAGTTAAAGAGAAAGAAACATAGAATTCAAAACACATCGTAACTGACGTCTTGAGAAAGTGAATCTGGCCAATCAAACCTTGCCAAGTACTATCAAGTACTCCTATCAAATATGGAGTGAATTAAACTATTTTAGCTTCTTAGTTCTCCCAACTTTCATTAAGGCAACATACGCAAGCACTCTGTAACCCACAAGCATGATGAGCAAAGCAAGCACAGAAAAGGTCACATGTTTCCCAAGCTCTGCTTTCTCAATAGAAGGATGATTTTTAACCATGCAAATGCCTCCTTCCGAGGAACACCGATACGTCTCTTCCGGCTTAAACTGCGCCTCTAGCAAGAGCTTGAAGGTGTACTGCCCGATCGATATGTATTTGATCCAGGCTACGAAACGCGGGACTTGCCTAACGTAAAACCCGCCAGCAAGAAGGAACGATAACATGACCACGGACTCAAAAGTGGCAGCTGCTTTCTGATCCATCATGAACGCGCCAATGGCCAGCCCGAGGCTTTCGCAGACCAACACGCATAGTAGGATGACAAATAGGGTGGAGAGGAAGTTGAGGGGGGCGGGTTTTAGCCCCGCCATCCAATAAGTTATTAGGACGAAAGCGGTGGGCAGGACGAGTTCCATGGGAAGGTCGCATGCGGTCCTGGCCACGAAGAACGATGAGAGTCTGTACATCCCCGAAGACCTTTCCTTTTTCAGCATCATTTTTTCTGTTGGGAATGTGAAAATTGCTTGAAAGAGTGGGAAGAATCCCCAGAACGATGAATAAAAGAATAAAAGCCCAATCTGCATACATGTACATGCTACCCATTAGAACAATATTTGTAAAACTCTAAGACACAAAAACTGATTTAGATTGAATGATGATGTGAGATAAGATGCAAGAAGTATTTTATTATACTACCTTCATCCAAGTCTAGTTGTTTAATTTTTTATTTTATTTGTATGAAATTATTTACTTACTTTACATATTAATTAAACAAAAATACGGTGAATTATCTAAAGTAGGTTGGAAATATGGTATAAGTATTGTTGAAGATAATAAGTCAAAACTCATTTAAAAGACTTGTTTCACTATACAACTATTGTAACTTATTAAAACACTATGTATGTGATAGTATAATTTTAAAAGGTATCCCAAGTTGGTGTGCCCTAGTACACCAACTTCTCACAGACACACACAGACACCTACTGTCTGTGTCAAACACAGACAGTAGGTGTCTGTGTGTTTGCGAGAAGCTATTGTACACTTCGGTTATACTCAATGTCCATGCGTGTACAAACATTGAGTGTCTATGTATGTCACTCATAGTCTTGATGTACAAATGAGGTACATCATTTGATGTACAAATAGAGTACACCATTTGGTGTGCCCCTAGCATTGCCCTAGAAAGCATTTTTAAAGATTTAGTATTAATTAGTGAATCACAAAAAGTGGAGGGCACATACCTGATCTTGTAGGTCAATAGATCTCCACCACAAAGCGCCAGTTAATAAAGCCACCGCCAAGATTTGGGCAACCTTACGGCCGGAGAAAGATTCAAACTTGCGTTGTTTCAATCCCCTCTTAAGAAGCACCGAGAATTGCTCTCGCCATGGAATCGACCACCCATTGAAATGCTTCTCCTCCTCGTGTGAACTACTAGGCGAAACCTCATTACTGTCATGTAGTGGTGTTTCACGTTGCAGCTCCTCTTTCAACGCGCCTTTAAGATTTGCCTTGAAAGCAGAAACCAAAGTCTCTTTAACTTGAGCTGGATTTCTCGATGACGATGGATCATCATCGAGAACACCTGGTATATCAATTTAGATTTCAAAAGTACTTCGTATTAGATTTTTCATAGTCTATGGATAATGGATTATTTAAACTTATGGATTGTTTTAATAATATTTGGTCTCGAATAAATCTTATTATATTTTACTATCAAGATTTCTTTAGATTCTTAAATGTTCATATATATTTTTCTAACATCAATAATTGATTACAAAATTGACTAAAACCTTAGATTTTAATTTCGATATTATAAATATTGTTTAGGAAGTCATAACATTTCATTTTTATAATTGTAATTTTGAAGACAACAAAGACAGTGACAGAAGTCGGTTCATATGTATGTATGCAATTGTTGTTGAATAAAGAGAGATCACTCTATAATTACAAGTTATAAATTAAAAAGAAATTGCACTTAAATTTGTAAATGACATGTGGTTCAGGTTTGGTCTTAACCCGGTGAGTCAAGTTGAATCCGATAACTCTGGATCATTAAATCGAAGTGACCCGAATCCGAAATAACCCGAATCCTATAATACCGAATCAAAACCCGACCTGGCCGATCGTTTTGTCAAGTCTAAATAATATTATCTTCCTACTTTTTTTAGATTTTATATTGTCTTCCGACTTAAATAATCTTCAAATCTATTATTTGAATTGTTAAAATATATTCTCCTTTTTATTTATTATCATTATTTATTTGTTAAAATG